TACTGCACAGACCCAACTATGCTAAGATTTATGCTATCATGAAAGTTCATCTGTGTTGGTAGTTAAAAGTTTAAAGTTTTGATCCAACCCAAGGAATGGTTTGGTGAAAACCATTCTTTGTGTTGGATAAAAAGTTTTCAAGTATGCTAGGATTTATTAAGACATTGAAGGAATTCTGCCCTGTGCTACTGACAGTTAGACTTTGTTGTCTTCTTCCATAGTCCATCCACACCACTTCTGGTGCCTGTCAGGAGCTGGTGGGACAGAAGTGCTTCCACCAGGTCCTGGAGTACGTCCTGGCTGTGGGCAACCGCATCAACATGGGCACCACCAGGGGGGCCGCACGGGGGTTCCGCCTGGCTTCTCTCGCCAAGGTAAGCACAACTCCAGTTATGCTAGGAGAAAAGTTCCCTCTCAAAGAGAAATTGGTAGTACTGAGAAGAGGTGAAGATGAGGTTTGTGGATTTCTTCCTAACAGTTTTTTATTAGTCTCCCATTTAGTAAGCAAATGCCATTTGATTTTCATAGTATAAGTCATGAATACATCTTCAAACTCACTGCTCTGAATGTTTTCTCTTGAACATAATATAATGAATTTGTCACTAAGGCGACACGATTGTGTGAACACTTTGACTTTTGAGTAGAATCCTAGTTTCTAGATGGAGACAGGTACTACTGTCAAATTAGAAGTCTGAGCAAATTAGCTTTGCCAACAAAAAGTAGAGCAAGAATAAAAACCACTTGTACCCCTGCAGTTGTCTGAGACCTACAGCAGTGACAAGTCATACAGTCTGCTGCAGTTTGTAGTGGAACAGATAAAACAGAAGGAGCCTCGACTGCTGGATGTGTCTGCTGAGATGAGCTGTGTCCAGAGGGCTGCAGGAGGTGAGCTTCTTTCTATTTATCTATTACTGAGTATTTTTGTCTTAATCCACTGTATGTACATGTATGTAGTTAAAGTTGTTTTCATGTGAAGAAATTTTGACAACAAATAAAGGTTGCAGATTATGGATGTTTGTAGTATCTTTTAGATAACTATTGTAAGTGATAGTATCTCGTATTAATGTATTGTAATAACTGAAGTTTTCCCTTTTATTTTTCTAAAAGCTTCTGTGAAAGGCCTGATGGCAGAAATGGAAGGTGGGTGCCACTTCTGTTTGTGAAACATTCCTATTTTGCATGTGTTTATACAATACACTACAAGACTTTGAGAGTAAAACTTGTCCATATAAGATATGTATCAATTAATTATCATACATGTATTTACTGTGATTTACCAGCCAAGAGAGATAATTGATTAAGATACGTATGCTGGGACGGGCTTCGCTGCATTGAGCTGCTTCCCGGTCCTTGTACATATGTAAATACGTGTAACACTAGCACCACTGATTTCACTTGTCCTGTCCTTGCACTTGTCCACGTCCACCCCTACCCTACCCTTTGTTTGCACCTTGCACACAGTACTAATGCGCAGATGCTAGTAATCTTCTTTTTAGAAGGCTAAGCAGTACTGAAGATGATGTATAAACACTACTAGTCACACATTGAACTAAGAAAGACATTAGGGAATTTAGCTATACCAGAAACTTTTCAGGAAATCCATTGCAATAGTTCTTGAACTTATTTCTCTTAGTGATGACCAAGGATCTACTGAAGGCCAAGAAACACGTGGCTTACATGAAGAAGAAGAAGAACTCCCCCTCAAAGAGAGACTTGGAGTTCTGTAAAGAGGTTGAGGTAAGGCTTGAGGATTTCTTCCCAACACCTTTTTACTAGTCTTTTTTTTGGTAAAAAGATGATATTTGCTAGCATAAGGCATGCTTACATCTTCACCTTGCTAAATGTTTTCTTGCTGTTTTCAGGACAAGCTCTCTGCACATGAAAAGGAACTGAATGCACTACAGAAGCAATGTTCTTCCATGAGAGACACTTTCAACAAAGTCCTGGTAAATATTTGCATGTAGTTTCTATTTATTTTGATGATGATTTCCTATATTCTACCCCTGAAACCAACATGAATTTTGTATCAAAGGGCCAATTTAGTAGATAGAAACTTGAGCTTCAGGAACAATATGATGATCATATCAAAATTTGAAGTCTTTACATTATGATTAGCATGATTGCAATGCTGTAAGTACTGGGTGCATATTAGTGCAGGTAAAATTGGGTCTGTGCAGGTATTTCTGATGTTTTTCTGCACCTGTCCTTGTATTGGGTTTGGTTGTGTAAGAGAGTCTGTTTATTCTATTCTGTGCTTTCCCAGGGCCTGTATGGAGAGCTGCCTGGTACAGACTCCCAGGAGGTGTTCTCTGCTGTGTCGGAGTTCCTGGCTAGTTTTGACATCGCCAGGGACAGGCTGAGGGAAGAGGAGGAGAAGAGGAATGACCCCAGGAAAAAGCTGGGCGCCATCATGCAGGGGTCTCTAGCTGGAGCGGTGGTCAATCTGGTAAGTCTGAAGCAATGTTGGTACGTCAATTAGTCTGAAACTACGTTGATAAGCTGGGATTCGAACTCCCAACCTCTTGGTCCTGTGGCAGGGTCGCTAACCACTGGGCATGCTACTCATGGGCTCCTAAATGGGCTATGTTACTGCTGAGCTCCATTAATAGCTGGGATCAATAGCAGTTGCGCATGTTAGTTACAAGGCAAGTAACCAGACATGCGGATGTAGGGAAAGAATTGTAACGGAAACGTTATTCTTATTTTATTCTTTACACCTTATCAGAGTATGTATTTTTCTGTGGTCTCCTTGGTGTGCTAACTAAGGATATTTTGACCCCAGCGCTCCCCTACCTCGGACCATTGCACGATGCTGACCTCCCTGAGAGACACCCTTCCTGCCATGCCCAGTCCTGACCAGGACAACAGTCAAGACCCGTGGACACAGAGTGAGCAACTTTGTTATTTGTATTCACTGATTCATACGGTGTATACTTGGGAAACCAATTTGAAAGTACATGTAGTTTGATACACAAGAAAACAACTGGATAAATTTTGAAAACTGTCAGCCATTTCAAGTAGCATCCACAACTTTTCACCAACAGAATCTGAACATTTTTTTTCAGATGCAGGGAGCTGAGGTGTCCGCAGCTGCCTGAGAAACAAAACAGCAAAAAAACATATTTCTGTATGTCACACCAGCAGTATTTCTGTGTCCTCTGGCTATCAAACTTCCTATATGTTGAATTTAAAAATTAAAAGACCTTATAACATATATATCCTCAAAATGTGGGTTGAAAGTCTGTGGAATTGATTTATTGTGGACGCCAATGGCAATGCAAATGGTCATTAATTATCACATGATGATGCAATGGGCGTATTTTGTGTAATTGTCAACATGTTGTATGGTGTATTTTATTGATGCCAAATACAAATCTTTTTTACACATTCCTGCAGCTAATATTACAGATCACAGTGAAGAGAGTGTCATGCTTAAATGCCGTGCAAAGCATTTTGCACATGGCCCTGGTTATTAAGTTCATTTTGTTTTTACAAATTTTTGTGGAAGGTTGATCCTTTTTTTTTGTGAGAAATGGACCATAGAAGGGTTAGATATAAAAACTTTTAACATTCCTTTTTTTCATGAAACTCATAGTTTATTGATTAATTTTGTTTGTAAATATTCACACAATTGGAATATCAGATAATACTCCTATTATAATAGATAATTTATGTACAGTCCACTTTTCGGGGCAGTGTTGTTTCCACAAAGAGGTGTCTAAGACACTGTTCAAACTTCCTCAACAAATGCCAAAATCTTCTGTTCATATGCTTTTGTCTTCTTCAGTTTAATGAGTTAATGAGTTAAAGCATATCTTAGTGTTTTGTACGTACCTTTAATATATATACTAAAGGTGAAATGTGTTTGTGAAATATATATAATGTAGTTTAGTGCCAAGTTGGAATCATTGTACTAAGCAGTTGCCTGCACAGAGCTTGCTTTTTGTTAATAGTAGTCCATACCACCAGAGATTTCTGCAAGTTTCAAAGAGTTATACCAGTAAGAAATAAAAAGTACAAGTTTGTCTTCCCATTCCTCAAAAAATGTAGACAGTCAGGACAAAATTATATTTTGGATATCCTAAACATGTACTCCTTTCTGAAGTTGTTAACCTATGTAGCTGTATTCAAAGTAGAAAATATTTTACAAACAATTATAGTAATATTTTGTTTGGAATGAAATAAAGGTTTTGAATTGTTACTTGTTTGTTTTAAATACATGTAAGTGGGGGGTAAATCTGCATACTGGATAGCATGAAATGGCCTGGGGCAAGGCTAGTGGACATGACATTGAGAGGTGTAAAATGGGTACCTGACTTCGGTTAGGGAGTAAAGCGGTGGAAGGAGAGGGATGGGCTCTGCCTTTCTGTGCCCTAGACACAATGGACTAACAACCTACTGCATGCAAATGACTACTGCACTGCAATCCTTTGTTACCAAACCAACCTACTAAAATCACATCCTGCTCAGGATGCACTAAGCTAAGGATATCTGACATGTGTAACTTGGGATGTTTAACTGTGATAAATATACCAAAAAGGAGGGAGATGTTGAAAGGTATTGGTTTCACCTTTAGTGAAATGAAATAACTGCACAATAAAAAAGGGACTCAGGGTCAACTTTAACTTTTATCACATCTTGACGTACTGACAGGTGATTCATACCAATTACACAACTCAGAATTGAAGTACATTGTGTATACTGTTATGTCAACATTCCAATCTACATTTAGTTTAGTTTTAAAATAAGTAATGCTAAGGGAAGTCATTGAAGAAGACCCAGAGGCAATAAGGTGAAAGTTAGAATGCTAAAACTGCAATGGTTCCCCAAAATGGCAACTCTCATCCTTTGATAGAACATCTATATGGTAAGAAGACACAAATCTTCATTACACAAACTCAACTTGTAATGGATAAGTAAGTATGGTGCTATCTTCCTCTATACCTTGAAAGAGTTGAAGACTAGACCGTACACGTAGAGAGGACATATGCACCATCAGATTGTAAGTACCATTCCATTTATTTCTAATCATGAACATTGTACTGTACACAACAGAGTACACAAACCAAAGGGGTGACAGAAAAAGAAGACAACTTACAACTTATATTCTACTGCCAGAAGGAATCAAACAAGGGAAACATCTTTATTTTCTTGTTACCAAAACAATGCTTTTCTTAAGTTCACAAGTTTCTGCCCAACAAATCTGACATGCTAAAGTTATTTGCTGAAGAGTTTTATCATTTGTGCTTTCTTTCATTTTTCTGCACCACAAAAGCTATCAAAAGAGTTTCATTACCCTCTCTTCCTCCCCCCCCCCCTTTTAGCTTTCAGAAGCTTACATTACCAGCAATGCATTTTAGTGCAGATCACTTATTGTTGACAACACAGCCATGCATCTGAATGGGCAGGAAGACTGTAACTATCATCTCTAGTAGTAGTACATACCTCCACCCAGCAGAAAACTAGTGTGGGTCAATCACAGGTATTTGTTAGATCCTAGAAGTTTTTGCAGTTCTGTGTATGTGTGTGTGTGTATGTATGTGTTCTTGCTCTCTTTCAGTAGTTGTATATACCAACCCTTCCCACCCCTTCTGCCCTTATAAGTGCTGAGTTCCAGTAGTAGTATGTGGACTGAACTATTTCTCTATGAAAGGGTGATGAGGTTTAAGATTATGACAGGAAAGCACTAACAATCTATCACCAAGCACTACTGATGACACCACCCCTGAAACTGAGCACATTTCGGTGGGAAGGTTGGTTGTGATACAGGTTTTGCGCGAGATGACACCGCTCCCCTCCTGTCCACCCACTCAGGGAAACAAGGAGCCTTCCGGTGGCTGTGTCAGTTTGTTGTTGGACTTGTCTGTCATTAATCGGCGCAGCTCCTGCAGTACAGTCTTGATGCAGTATTTATTCTGCCAGCGGTTTAGTACTGGTACTGATTTCTGGTCAACCTGTAACAGCCATAACCACGTCTGATATTGGTCACTGAAGACTATGAGATTAGAATTCACAAAGCCTTGTCATACGATATAGAAGGATGGCAAGGATATAGAAAAAACCCAAAGGCAGGTTGAAGGGAAAGTTGGCTAACATTTTGAAAACCAAAGGAATTGTTACGATTGTTATGGAGTTGTTGGAAAACATTCTAACCAAATTCAAACCAAGCTGGATTTGTGGGGTGTTTTTTCACTCTTGTGGCAGATATTATTGATGTATTTACATGTTGTAGTGCTCATTCCAACTACACATTGACAAAAACATTACAGGTATGTTAACAATATACAGTATCTTTGCCGACATAGAAAGCTAATGCATGCATTACACACAAAGAAACAGTGTAGAATTGTACTCACCACTCCTGTGTTAGCATTGATTCCAGTCATGTTGATCTTCGTTAAGAATCGCACTGAGGGAGGTGTTTGGGGATACTTACTCCCACATTCTATCCTTAGACTGTAAATTCTGCTCTCATATGGAGTCTGCAAAACATGAATAAATAACATTCTAATCATTAGTCTGTTATTGAAACTGACCCCTTACCACAGATGTTTGAAAATGTATAGTTATGTGTAAGTGTATGTAAATGTACAACTTCTTGTGACTTTGGCACAACTCGCTCTTTATATGTTACTCAGCAAACGTTCAATCTTAAGAAAAAGAAGTTTCAGACTAAACATGCCAGTAACACAGAATTCTTTACCAGTTCTAAACATGAGCTTCCTCTGAGGCACATTTCAATATGTAGCTCTGTCCTTAACATGCAGTACCAGTATGCCCTCCATGATACGAAACGTAGATAAGGCCTACAAAAAAAATGTTGTGTTTCCTGTTTTCTGACCAACCATAGAAAAAACTGCAGACCCTAGCCTTTTTTCTGTGGATCCCTGCAAGGGACATAAATTTTCCAGCTGATCGACCTTTTCTAGCTCCATGATCTGACATGTGAGTGATGAAAGTGTTGACAGTTTTCATGCAAGTTTTACTTTGTTAAACTGTATTGTATAAGTTCAATCAGTAAAGATTGCCAAAGTCTAATAAAAAAAGAAATTAAAAAAAAGATGATCCCTACCTACTGACCCTAATTTTTTTCAGGACTGAAACACAACATTTTCCTTAAAAGATTTAAGACTAGGAATCAAGTAGGATAAGGAAAAGTTGTTGTTGCTGACCCTGGGAGGTCCAATGATCATGCCTGTCCAGGTGGTGAGGCTCATGTCAGTGTCGTCCTCCAGGCCCCAGGAGACGAGCCCCTCCCCGCCGCCCTTCTGCCCCTCGTCCAGTTCATCAATCAGCCGGAAGTTACGTGGAACAACTGGATAAAACATTCAACCAAAATGTGGAACAACTGGATAAAACATTCAACCAAACCATAAACCTTGTGCTACGGGTCAATCTACATGTACACTCCCATAGGTCAGCTGGATACAGCTCAGGTCTGCAGGGAAATACCATGTCACTTATGCAGCATGCGTGACCATACATCAAGCATACATCATCATATTTCCTCTTCCAAGATGCTTTGGCTAGGAGTCTAGGACATTTCCTCCTCAGCAGCAATATTAGTAGGTAGTATTAGTTGGCTCTCTGTGAGTGTCACATCATTTGCTATGACAAACCTTTAATGCATGTAATTTCTCCTGTTTCCCTAGAATTTTCTGATATGGTAGCACTGTTGTACTTCCCTTCAGAAATATTAATGATTTGAAACCCTATATGAGTATTCCATTTCATTACTCGACAGCTCCCGGGGCACATAGCATCCTTTCAATTCCTTAGAAACCCTTTAGGCTGTACCATTTCAAACAAGAGATACCAGTAGAGTAGGGTATGTCCATGAAAACAGTTTGACGCTCCTTTCCACTTTTATCATCTTTAATTAGTATAATCTCGAGTGTAAAATGTACATGTCGACACCCTCACTCTTTCATCTTTTAAACATTTTCCCACTGTTCTAACCAATATGGATTAGCCATAACAATACAAACTTGGCACATTCTAAAGACTGGTGTTCCTGTCACTGCAGGAGGAAGTAACCTGTTCCTGCTTTGCTGTAGCTAATCAATAAATAATCAGCACTACAAGGTCATCCAGGGTCAATTTAGACCTGTCCATGTATGTTTTCTGCTGCATGCAAGTGGTTGATAACAAGGATGTTGTATAATTATACAGATACAGATATAATGTCCTTGATGGTAATGTCTATGTCCAAAGAATATGTAGATGGCTATTACATTACATGCTAGGAGATATGTTGAAAATGCTACACTTGTTTCAGTGATTTTTTTTCCCTGGATTTTATAACAAAAGAGGGGATAGATTTTGGGATTCTAAAAAAAAAGCTGTAAGTTGAAAATGTTGTACATGTAAAATAACAGTGGTATCACTGGTTGTGATAATAGTCACAAACACCCAACATGGGAAAAAAAAGATATTAAAGAAACAAAAGAAAAACCTAGACCACTGGAGCACATTTTGATGACACAAAATCATCCCTCTTGAAAAGGCATCTCCTAATTTTGCATGTTTCATGAAACAGCACATATTTTATAGGTGCCCTGAGTCTGAACCTGCTGTTTAGAGTTCATGTCTCTGTGGAATGTGGTGTGGGGGAGGGGGGCGCCCAACATGGGCACTGGTGCAGCAACTGTACAACACCAGACAGGAAATGGGACCACCGGCTACAGAGATACACCTACCTGTAGAGTAACTACAATAATTTTAGGAAACATAGCACATGTCATCTAAATCTGGGAATGTATTATCCAGACTTGTGTGTTGACTATCAGCACTATAAGTAATTACATGTACATGGCTCAGTAATCTTTGGTTTTGTTGATCGATGAGGTCCAAATGTTTAAGCTTCATGTACAAATTTTAACCTGTTAATTGGCTAAAAAGGAGGATATTTGTACATGTAAGTCAATAAAGTAGGCATGCGATCAAAGCACCTACACCATAGTACATGTAATGTAATGAGCCCAAAATTTAGAAATTATCTGCAAAATCTTTTGTTTCCCATGTACAAGGACACTGAGACAACACAAATCATAAAACTTTGAAAGCATCTTCCCACAAAATTTCCTATAACTACGTCATGATAGGAAGGCATGGGGTCTTATTATCAAAATTGTTACCCAAACCGATCATGGTAAAATTGTGGGGCAACAATAACAGTCATTGTCCTACTCACAAAGGCATACTCATACTGTATAGGCGAAATATTTAGGCATCATTCCACATAACAGCTTTGTAGAACCAAACTTTCCACTTTCTGAAGGTCCTATGTAGAAATTATGTACTAAACCTAACGGTAAAGAAGAAGTGTTTAGTCAGCATGTATGGACGGTTGTTCGTTTTTAGCTCGCATGTATGTATGCAGTCTCCATGGACTCTCACCACCACCCTCAGTAACCCAAAAATGTGTTCGGCATAAGCAAGTCAAATACCACCATCAGAGTGACGTGTGGGGCTCATATAGTCCACTATGTCTTAGAGTCTAACTTGAGGCATGTACGCGGTCTGATCTGGTCGTCTTTTTTGTTCCGAGGCCGACCATTTTTTTGTTCGTCGTCCAGAAACGGGACAACACCAAAACCAGGAAAATGGCGGCACCGTTGAATGGTGGGTTAAAAATTAAGTCAAAATTCAAGTTAGAAGTCCATATAGGGGCTCTAAGGAAGGATAACTATGTCATTTACTTGCATGTAGTAGCAAATGTGGTCAATCGGGCATTTGGAATGGTTGAAATCGTGCAGAAAATGCAGAGAACTTGCTTCACCTACCTACTTCCGACGCCATCTTGGATGACACGAGATGGACCCCCAGCAGTGCTGACGTCACGACCAGTCCCTGGCCCAGCCGCTAGAAGGTACTAGACTGTCCCCTTCCTGTATTACCATCAACAATACGAGTCATGATTCCTATGAGTAAGGAGCGTATGGACTGTCGTTAGTTCTGACTTTCCGCTTCCTTCCACTGTCTAAATTCCATCTGTTGTCATACAAGTGTTTTGGACTATAAAGTGCTGTACTACAACACCCATTACTGTAGCCTGGTCAGTCCAGCCTTGTTAGCTAGTCCGCTCCCCACTGAGATCCGCTCCCCGCCTTCTTGGGGAGCGGACTAAAGCTAACAAGGCTGGACACCAGGCTACCATTACTGCATTTTCACATTGACGCATGATTTTATATATCTATCTATTTTCCGTTATTAGCATTGCATGTCAGATGTATAACTATATGTTAGTTCCTAATTTGCATAGGCTGCATGCATCAAACGTTGATTTACCGTTAAACCCTGCGTTAAACCAAGGATGTCTCCGTATAACCTCATTGGTTGAACTTTCCCTAAACTTTGATATATGTTGACTGAAAAAAAATGTCATTTAAAGAATAAAGTACCACCATTGGTGAAATGGATAAAGTGAAAATTTATTTGACTGTAGCCTGTGTGTCCTATCCTGACATGACCAATGATTAGAACAATGTGACAGTAAAAAGAGGTTATGGTTATAGAACCTCCTTGGACAGTACATGTATAATGTACTCTCAAACAGAGGTTTTGGTTTTGGGTTATTTTTAATTAATTTGGCTTGTTTTTAGGCTTTTTATCGGGGTTTCTTTTTTGCAGTGGAATTGTTTTTTTTGGGGGGGGGGGAGGGGTAAAAATTGCACTGCAAAAAAAGAAACCCCGATAAAAAAAGCCTAAAAACACGTCAAAAATAACCCAAACCTCTGCTTGGAGAGTAAGTATAATGGCCTTTGTCCTGAGAATAGCTTGTGTTGGAACGCATGCGCTTTGATAATAGAGCAAGGCTCGTTGCATTTCATACCGTATGTTTGTGTACAAAAAGGATGTGCAAAAGAAGTCACCAAGTGCATGTTCAAGATCTTTGATTTTAATTGTTAGTAACTTAAAAGTTAAGTTATTAAAACATGATACCCTATCACGGATCATGTTACCATGACACCCTGAACTTGAGCCGGAGGCCGACGGCCAAGGGGACCCAGGGGCTTGAAGCAAGGGGCCATGGGAAATACCGCAAAACTTCCCATAATGCCTAGTTGTAGATCACAGATCACAGTTCTCCCACTACCAAGCAAACCCCACGGAAAAAACTAACCACCTGCTGGAAGTAATATCATAATATTTTGTAAGGACAGTATTTCTCTCACTGTTGATAACGACCGTTGCTATATAAAACCCAATGGCATAGTCAGGTAACCCAGAAATCAACAAAAAAACACACCGAATCCTTAGTTGTATAAAACATCAAACCCACAAATGTCAACATATCAACACACTAAACATCCTTCCCGGCATGCCCCAAACCATCATGGCTGCCGAGGACATATACAAATACAGGCAGGCGCCGACGGGACCCTCCTCCCGGGACCTGCCCCCGAGGGGTGGGGCTGAACTCGCCTCCCCAGGGGCTGCCACCTACGGGAACTACGCTGAGCACGCCTGCTTCAACCTAGCTAAGCTGAACGAGCAGAGGAAGACCGGGGCGTTTTGCGATGTCGTCCTGCGGGCCGAGGGGAAACATTTCCCCGCCCACCGATCCGTCCTAGCCGCCTTCTCGGACTATTTCGCGGCGATGTTCCAAACTCAGCTCGCTGAAGGCAGCCAGAAGGAGATCAAGCTGAAGAACGTCAGTGCTGTAGCCTTAGAAGCCATCCTAGATTACATGTACACAGGGAGCATCACCATAGACTACAACACTGTCGACAAGATCCTTCCTTCCTCGGACTTGCTTCTCTTGAGCGACGTAAAATCCTTCTGCGCGGACTACCTGGAGAAAAACATGGATTGTTCCAACTGCTTGGGCGTCAGGTACTTTGCGGAGACCTATCGGCTCGGAGATTTGGCCCAGAAATCAGAAAAATTCGTCCTGGCGAATTTTCCCGAAGTCATGACGCATGACGAAGTGCTAGAACTGCCCTTGAACAAGCTGGAGGAATTGTTGACAAACGAAGCCATCTGTATCCGAGAGGAACGACTGGCCTGCGACCTGGTATGTTATCGTTTACAAGCATGGGACTACGGGCATTACTTAGCTATTAAAACCACTTGTCAGCACTGAGCAGAACAAAGCATTTAAAGGACAAAACGAATTTCTTTGAAGTCCTGTTATGTTCGGTAAACCTGTTTTAAAGTTATTGATTTAAGGTTGTACCGTAGATATTATATTCAATATAATGACATACAGAGACGTTATGTTCAATATATTAATAGATTCTTTAGTTGTACCCCTTGGACCAGCCATTTCTAAGGATGTACAATACGGGGCAGGTTATGAACTTTTAAAAAATCACGGCTAGCCCGCAGGGTATTGGGGCTAAGTGATTACGTGTCATACGTGCCAAAGTCAAATGTCGTAAAGACCCACCCAAGTTAGAGTACACGGTGTGGCCACCACGCCGATTGGTTAAAAGACAACTAATGCCTTGAGTATCGGATGTTGTATCAGTGTACACCTATTAAATCTATGGCCTTTGCAGGGGTCATTACTGGTGACAGGCTGTCAAAACGCGAAAGCCGGAAAATTCCCGCCAATGACGATAGAAACACGGTGATCAGAAAATGCCTACGATCGTCTATTATAAGGCGTTCACACCGACCCCATGACAACCGGGTTACCGTTCTGTTTTAGTTATCTAGATGTCTTCGTGTTTTGGAAAATGGTTTTAATGCATTCTGTCCTGATCTTTCAACGCTGACTTGCCTGACCTGATTTTAAAAATCCAGGCTAGTGATTGGTATATACCACGCCTATAACACCCCTGTATTTTACTACTGCGATATCCTACTCATTAGTTCTTCTCTAGTGCACATTTATCTGGTTAAAAGTGGTACGTTGTATTGATGGCTTTGCCTCGGTCAAATGCTTCTTTATCGATCTGTTTACGGTCCCAAGAACACGGATGTGTTGCCGGGGGTTTGTAGCGGAGAATATACGGCGCTGTTACCGACTGTTTGTTGAATGTTTGTTCCGTTGTTGCCAGGTCTGGTTTCTGTCATTCTGCAGTCACAAAAATAAACATTCACAACGAGATCGTAGCCTTGAGCTCATTAGGAGCTCGAAGCTGCACGGCATGCAGTGGCATGTTAACATTGCCGGCGTTGTTTTGCTGATCACAGTATTTTCTGATTGTTACCGCAACTCATCTCCAAGCAGATGTTAAGGTGGAATGTGTTTGTATAAAAGTTTCACGCACAACAGCCATTTGCCCTTTTGTATGGAACAAGAACCACCGAAACATAATGTAGTAAAATATAGTACGTTGTCAGGAAAACAAGTACAATATCAAAGTAACTACGCAGAGCATTTAGTGTTAATTTCGATCCCATTCCGAACAAATATGAATAGCTCGCAATAAGCCACATGACGCAAGTTACGTTACAAATCGCAAGACACTATCCCGTGATAAATTCAGACTAAGTCCATGCAACGTTCTGTCCGACCAAGGTCGTTTGGAATGTCAGTGAGAGGTAAGCTGTTAGTGTACGTGATTTGATTACAGCGCGTGACGTTTGCCCTCTAACGCCCCAGGAAAATACCAAGCCTCTGTAGCAGGATCCGCGGTCGGTGTTGTTGACTCAACATTTCCTTGTTTCTGCCGGAGACACGCACGCGTAGTGTTTTCTCGGATTCTTATCGTGTTTTTGTAGGTCCTGTTTTCTACAATATTGGCCGGAATCAGAGAATTGTATGTTAAAGATAGAATCATTAAAAAGACGTCCCAACAAGCCTGATACGATGGCTAGGGAAAAGCACTCACGCGTCAGATCGATATTCATATGAGCGTGCTTGGAGACTAGTAGTGTGATGGTCCGTGTGAAGTGAAATCAGACTAGATTTATAGCCATATAGGTAATGTCAGTTAGTTATTACACTGATAGTGATAATGACAATACAAAATGTAGTAAGAAAGATAATCATAACTTGTGTGAAGAACATTGAGAAATGTGTTTATTATATGTAACGTTACGGTTCCATATGCCCCGTTTGCAGGTTCTGAGATGGGCGGCAGCGGACCCAGACAAGCGGGTCGCCCACCTGGCCCGTGTGCTGGCCCTCATCCGCCTTCCACAGCTCTCTCCGTATTACATCCACGACAGCCTGGACAAAAACCCGCTGCTAGCCCAGTCGTCCGACTGCAAAGCCCTGGTGGAGGAAGTCAAATTGTACCACCTTTTACCTGAAAGGCGCGCCGCCATGCGGCTAGCGGGGTCAGCGCAGCCCCGGGCGTGTAATCTGACGCGTGATGTCATCGTCCTGCAGTGCGGGAAGACGCCGGCGTCGTGGTACGAGTACGGCGTCAACATGACCATGTGTTACATGCCTGACGACGGCCACTGGTTTCCGTGGCCTCCAACGCTGACACCGAGGATCAACCACTGTGCTATAGCGCTAGAGGGGGCAATCTATGCCATAGGTACCGTACAACAGCCTTATGATGTGTGTTCTGTTGCTTATAGTCTTGTCAATGTCATCCAATTTTGTTGAAGTTAGAGATTTCTTACATTTGTGGTTTTTTTCCGTGTCTGTAATCTGACGTGAACGTGTGAAAGAAGGCATATATATTGACAAATACACCAAGTATTAAAAATAAAGCCAAAGCCAGTGAAACTTAGCCGTATTGGTGGACGCGTTACTGATGCCTGAAAAAAATTAACACCGCCGCCACCGCACAGGTCTGCGAGGCTAATAAATGCGATAGTGACGTGTTTGTGCGTGTTTCAGGTGGGATGGACCATGCCGGAAACGTGCTGCGCTCGGCCGAACGGTTCGACCTCCAGAAGAACGCCTGGTACCCCATCGCCTCCATGAGCGTGGGCCGCTACCACTGCGCAGTCGCCGAGTTTGATGGACAGCTGTACGTCTCCGGCGGCATCACGGATCACACGCGCGTCCTGCCATCTGTGGAAAGGTCTAATAATCGAATAATCTTTTTAACCTGATTTATTATTTTGTGAGGTTCTTCATCGGTTTAACCTCAACTCCATCGACCAAAGACGCCTCGGTCTTTGGAAAGACTGGTCCCCTTACTTCCTTTCCTATCTCGTGAACATGCAGCAACCTGATAAGGGTCAGAGGTGGACTAAGTTAGTATCGCCCCCCGTCCCGGTTCATTGAAGGCTGGTTGGCTTAGATGGCTTCTTTCAATCCCCTCACTGTCTTTTTATGTTCATGGCTTTTGGTCTTGCAGAATAGAATCTTGATATGTTACAAATGCAAAAGGCATCAAACGATCGCCTACTCACATCACGTTGATTTTTGTCTTCAGATACGACCCCGGGAGAGACGAGTGGACCACGCTTGCGCCCATGACAGAACCCAGGTTCTACCACCAGTTCGTCAGGAAGGGAGACAGACTGTTCGTCTTGCTGGGCAGGAATAGCAGGTGAGAACGACTACAACTTCTCTATACATCCGTGCATCTTTTCCTTGTGACATTTCTTTTATACCCTTTGTGTACTTTTTTGTATGCCATACTGAGATGTGTCTATGTTGTAGCTACTTCAATACCAGTACGGTGGAGATCTATGACGTCAGAAGAGACCAATGGAGTGTAGCCTGTCAGAGAGAGCCGCCAGTGGAGCTCCACCCCACCTGTGACCGGCCTGTCTGCACTCTGACCCGGAACCTCATCCACCTTATCCACCCCTGCGGCGCGTCCGTGGCTTACGATGACGCCAGATCCACCTGGATGACGTCACGTGTCCTGGCGCCCGTCCCTGGCCACCATCCTAACTACTCCTTCTTCATGCACGGCCGCGTCATGTACGCGTTCGGACCCCACCTGTCGCGTTGCTATAGTTACGACATCGACTTGGACAAAGACTGGAAGGAGATCTCTCCCCTGCCTGTGCAGGGAGACCTGCTCATCACCCCCTGTGCCCTGCAGCTGTACCGGGATCTCCTGCCGAAGCCCGGGGGGAACACCCCGCAAACGGAGTCCCCTCCCGCCGCAGCAGCAGGCGGAGCCCCCCGGGGGGCGGAGGCAGCCAGCGGGTCCGGCTCCGCGTCCGGGTCCGCTTCAGGGTCCGGATGCTGAAGCATTTGACTCAATGGGCCGACTTGATCTAAAGTGTTTGACTGGCCGGTAGGGCATTGTCATGTATCGTGCGAACTAGGTGAAACCATGGAGGTTTTTCTACCTCCGTGATGAAACCTAGCTAGTCTCACTGACTCATCACTCACTGACTACCGACCTCTCAATTGCTGACCTTACATTTCTATAGCTTCCTTCCGCTGAAAATGCCGCCAGACTTTTTAAAGTGCACAACAGAGGTTACATTTCTAACGAACACAAGCAAGTCCCACTGAGTCTGGGTAAAACTGCTAGCGACAACATCAACTTAAACTAGTTGCAAGGCTGGATAATTATGACGTGCTAATTGATCAGTGAAATGCCTAAAGCATAGAGGACTTCTCTCCTTTACTGATGTGCAATATGCCGGGTACTAAGTTTTCTTTTGAAAGGACATTCCATGATGAGCCGGGCAGTACTAGTGCAGGATACTTTTTTTCTCCAACAAAAGTTGCTTAAATGTATAAATAAGAAAAGTATATGAAGAAATGTCTGTATGATATAATTTTCATTTCATGGAATAGTGTCAGAGATCTCTTTATTGTAAATTTTGCCAATCAATGTGACGAATTCTATATAAACTTAAGGTATAGAAGTATAATTAAAGTGTGAAACTAAGTACCGAATGCGACTTAATGACTGATGCGTAAAACATGCTTGTAAAGCATCTAATTTATTTAAATTCTTAAATATGATTTGAAATACTTTCAAATCCTTCCAGCTTAATATCAGAATAAGGGTGCTCTTAAATGTATATATGATTTATACATTTGTGAATGTCAAACATTCTTAACATGATTTAAGTATAACCATAACAACTTTTAACTATGGCCAAACGTCCACTTCGTTCTTCCATACTAAGATAATACTGTAAGCAATTGTATAATTTTGTTGGTTTTCTTGTTTGCAACAATTGACCAGTGAACTGTATCCAGTGGATAAGATTGATGGCTTTTTGCTACTGTTCAGAAGAAACGTGGTTTTGCAACGTGATATATTGCATTTATTCATATGTGATAGTAAATGTATATTTACAAGTTTGTTATACATGCATATGCATTTGTATTTGATATTATTCCGACTGTGCCACACAGAATTATGTGGTGTATATCACACAGTCAAAGATGCAGCTTTGCCAGTAATTCTATACATATGCCTCGATGGTATAATCTATAATGATCTATACTATGGTTTATACATTCCGGTTATAGAAAGGCACATCTTCGATATCTGTATTGTAATATACCTGTATATCTGTTGCCTGTTAGTTTATCAGTGTTCTCGTTTACTGTAGTCAACAACATTGTCTAGTGCATCTAGTTACATTGTTGTAAGAGTGTACAGCAATTTCCTAGTGTTACCCTGTTTGGCATATAAACTCGTTTAGTAGAGACATAAATGCATTTAAATTCAATTCTATGTAGCGTTATATATAAGCATTTATACAAGTGCAATTGTTATTATAGTGTTTACGCTAGGGTAAACTGATGACTACGTCAGTTGACTTTTTGAACGAGGCATAACATATGTCTGCCTTGTCCCCCCGACGACCAGTGTCGGTCATGGGACTAGGTAGGTAGGTAGGTAACATCATTGCATTCCTTCAACATAGTCATACAGTACTATGAATTCTTTCATATCAAGCTACTGGTAGTAAACTATGTGCTGGACTTAGATGAGTTGTCCTTCTTGATTTCCTTCTTGATAATATACATCCTAGAAAGATCAGTGAGTTTAGTCTTCCTTACCTCTATCAGAAGACCCAGGGTACCACATGTAATTACATCACGTTTGTTCCTATCACTTTAAAATAATTCTGAATTTGGCTGTACAAGTGACTTTTTTCAAGTAAATATTAATAGAAAACAGAATGCTACATTCATTTGATACTGCAATCTTAACAAAGTGAACAGATAATCAACGTTACACAACCATCTTCAGAACTTCATTTACCATAAGACTTGTTATATACAAATAATGTGAACGTCATTACACTATGTACATTGTATCACAGGTGGATTATCATATACATGTACCAGTACATGGGTAATTATCAAAGATACTAGTCTTGCATTCCTTGGGTTAGTCCCTAAACCGTTACTATCTTGGCTACCGTGCGTGCGTGCGAGTCATCATGTATAATCTCGTGTTATTACTCGGGGTTTAATTGATGGATTGCCTTGTTTAGGAATCACTTAATCGATACAGAAATCAGTCAAAATATGCTTATCAGATTACTCCATGGTGGTATTAAAAGGCAAATGACCTAGAAGCATGGCTTTTAACTTGACTCACTGCTCAAATCCGCTTTTCTAAGTCACATATTTACACATTCATATTTTCAAACTTTCTAAAGACCATCCAATTCCGTCCGCGTGCCAGCATTTACTTTTCCCCAGAAAATATGTATTCGAGTTTCTTAAAATATTACTAATCAGATCTATTTTTGTTGAGGAAGAGTTATAAGCCGCCTTTGATATTATAGTCAAGATCCTGTTTGGTCAATCGTATCATTAGATACCCGATAATCACCTCAATAATTATTACATTAAGGGTTGTATCATCATCTCTTTCAATTGATTCCACAGTGACTCTGATACCCAGACAGAACATAATTCTCCATTTGTGCTAGTCTAGAAGAAGTAATTACACTTGGATGCATATTACTTAAAGCATGCAATTTATTTGAAGACATATGCAAATTATTGGTAGGCAAATCAGCCAACTCACTCGCTGTTTGCCTACCACTCACTAGCCATGATGTCATGGCGATCGCTCCTGGGCATATCACAAATCGGGCAGCGGGTTTTTCCTAGCATTGACCCGCGGGATGGGTGTCATGGCGGGCCCCCCGTTCGTCAGGGCGCTGGGCGGCCGCCCCTCCCTGACGAAAGTGGGCCCTGCAGGCGAGGCGCGTCCGTTCGGCATGGAGCGGGCCGGAGACGGGTCCGGGCTGGGGAGGGACCCGCCGCCCACCGACGCCTCGTCATCACCGTCACGTGACGTACCCGGCGTGACGTACACTTCCACCTGGTGACGGCGGACTGAACCACCGGTCAGGGAGGAGGGGTACTCGAACCTGCAGTGGAACACAAAATGTATCTATACTGTAACGATATGATACTTTTACGTATAATTCCCTCCATTGAAAAGTCACTACCATTCATTCAGCACCAAGGACATGAGCCATTGTGTTTTACTGTTACGTATAAATTTTCTCCATTGAAAAGTCCATAGGTGAAGACACTACCATGCATTCAGCACCAAGGACAGTAGCCTTTGTGCTTTACTATTGGTTATCCGCCGTGTTTTTCCCGCTGTTACATAGCAATAAAACTTGGTTTTATCTACCACATTGCTGCATTTTCTAAAGACATATATTGTACTAACGACAAGGATATTTATGTTGAAAGCAGAGACTTTACAAATACAATACTTACCGCCTGACGATAGGGAGCACCATTGGTGCTTTACAGTTAGACAAGTATGAGATGAGAGTCGTGATGTACAGTATATCGTTAGCCACGCCCACATCGGTGAAGAACACGCCGATCCTGATGATCTCCAAGGGGAGGGACACGGTGTAATGGAACAGCGTCAGCGCGAAGAAGGTTTTGATCATGATGGAACTGTTCCCGTTCTCGTCTTCCTCCACCCCACTGCGCTTGCGAGAGAGGCCACGCATGTAGCTGTTGCAATAGATGGTGCCAAATGTGGTGACGTAACAAACCACCAGCACAACCACCGGGCAAATGTACTGTGTCAGCATGAAGAAGATGATATACCCCCAATCTAGCCGCGTTTTCGAGTCGTCTGCATCGAAGCTGATGTAGCAGTGACCGATGTCCTTGAAGTATGTGAAGGCTCCCCACAGTTTCACAAGCGGAGGGAGGGTGATTGCTAGATTGATCAGCCACACCAGTCCGAAAGTGATGATCTTCCAGTTAGCAGGGTGAGGGTGCCCCCCTCTGGACCACTTGACAATTGCGATAGTCTGAAGGGATGAATAGAAGTACGAATGAAACAGTTACTGCACATATAAAAACTGAAGATTAATTCAAGTACATCTCGCTAGCTCGGTTTTCTTTGTACTAGTATATTGATGCCTACAATATCAGATCCCCCCCCCCCCCCTACACAGAGAGAGAGAAAGAAACACGAACGCACACGCACACGTACGCGCGCGCACACACACACACACACACACACACACACACACACACACACCTACCTGTATGACAGCCATAGCCGTGGAGAAGTGGTTGCTACTTGACCCGGTGTAGAGTCGGAACCACGCCAGGAAGTCACAGCCGAAGGTCTCCGTGTGAAACAGCGGCTCGCTTTCCTCCGGGTTGGGGACCAGGGAGGTGCGCATCAAGACCGCTATGCTAGAAGTGACATTTGGACCATTACAAATACTGCATATTATAAAGGACTGACCATTTTGATGTATGCACAGAAAAAAATCCGGATGCCAAATGCAAAATAAACCTGCCCAAATTGTATACCTTATTCTTATTCATATATTTTGGCATTTAATACATAAAAGCATCACACATCAGCGCTAAATTTAAAATATTATATATTATTTCCTGTCGTGAATGTCTTAACGCCATAATAAATGCCAGTCGTACTTGACCGCTGACTGCAGAACGTCTGCCACGGCCAGGTTGATGATGCCTGCCCGGCCCATGCTGGGGGCGACCCGCTGGATACAGAAGAACAGGACCTGCAGAGGTCAATACGCCATCATATAGTCATCAGGCTGTTGGGCCACATAAACCTTATGAATGCCATCGACGTTCAGTTGGCCTATTTCCAAAAATGAAAAGGTCGCTAACTTAGACAGCCTAGGAGAAATTTGTTGCTAAAGAGGTGGTTGAATTGGGCAGCCATCCAACATCTATACTCAACGGGAAAACGCACACATACATGTATACCTCAGCAATGCATTTTCACAATGTAAGCATTATGGACCATATGTGCAACCACGTCTAAGACCGAAGGTAAAATAAACCATCGGCGTTCAGCGGTCAGTAAAAGATTAGTGGTCAACCAAGGCTTGAAACGCCGTGCGTAGCTTTAGATGGTCGTTACATTGAGGTAATGGTAGTGTTCCAATTGATCTCAATGCCATTGTCTGGTGAGGTATGTGTACGTCTTCCGTTGAATATAGATTTTGGACGCTTGCCCAGCTGAACACACACATTCTCCTAATGAACAAGATCCCCTGATAATCAATGTGTAGACAGACCGTACACAAAGTACAAAGCACGGCAACATGAGCCGTAAATTAAAAAATATATATACTGGAAAACGATACTAATACATGTATCGTCGAACGCCAAAATCAATCCCAAAGGAAAAGAAGTCCAAAAGAGTCTTTTATTCGCCATACCTTCGTGACGACTTAGCCATAATGAAGGCATTTTTTTTTGCCAGATTTTTATTCGCACGCTCGCATCAGTTTTGGGGTTCCCATAGGATGGCATCCGTGTAATCAAATCAACATAGTCTTAGAATAGTCTGAGAATGGTTTTTAAAAAGTACTGACCATGATATTGCCTATGAGCCCCACATACTGCAGCAGCCCTATGACCCTCCCCAGCATGGAGGCGAAGCTGGTGTGCTGCACCAGGGCCTGGTTCTCGATAGCCATGATGCCGTTCTTGTTGTCAGGGTTGACCTCATAGCGAGGGAGGAACATGGCCTCCATGAAGCCAGAACCTTCCATGGCAGACCGCGAAGTCATTTTTATCTTCTGCGAAAAAGTTTATCTGACAACCTCTGTATCAGCTACTAGTCCCGATACGCCATGGTAAGGCCTACAATACGTCTGTGCTTGTCTTCGTTGCTCCTAGCCTTCTCAGCAGCTTTGTAAATGTTATAGAGTCTGCCGGTCAGATTCTATGGGTGCGGATGCTTAGCCTGACTACATCACGCTTCTGGCAGCCCGTCTACTGGTCAGGGTGTAGGCCCAATCAGCCGCTCAGCGAGAAGTTTGTGTGTAACACAGGCTAGGTAGATACTGTGGAGGAAAGAAGCATGGTTAGTCAAATAGGCTATACAAAATGCAATTACCTACATGTCATTTCATTTTCATTTTCCAAATGCATCTCTTGTACCATAACCACTAATTTTGCTGCAATATGTTGTGACAAGAGACATTGGATCAATAGAAGTGACACGCTGGTTCTGTCAAAAAGTCCAATCATCTCTACAGCCTGAAGCCATCCCGAGGTAGTACCTGCTATTTGAGTAAGTCAGCGTGAGCCAGATATATTGAACACACACCGCGTATATTATGACAGAAAAGCTGGCCAAGCATATTACTGCATTAGCACGCAGCTGAAATTGATCCTGAACCAGACGTGACCGGAGCTCGGTTTCCCGTTAAACATCAATCACCAGTTACAAAATGTACAAAGAAATACGTTTTACCAGAAATAGCAAAAGGATCTAAATGAATATTAGGTTTTACAAGAAGATCTAGATAAGATCTAGACAAAGCTTTATTTCATGCAGTATAGTTGAATATTCTATGCCTGAATATCTCGCCAGTAGACCATTAACCTTACTCACCCCTATTACGCTCCTGTCTGTGGCGCACTCAGTCAAGCAGGCCACAGAAAGCCGTCAACTCGTGTGATTCACGACAGACTGTCTAATGTGATTTACAAACCTACTCACGAGGTAGAACGGCCCAGTTCGCAGTCGACTTGTCGGCACCAACCATTGAAAATGCAATTTGACGTCAATGCGACATTGCTGCATGCATCTACATGTAGGCCAGCGCTCAGTCGTCCTGATTCACGACAGACCATCTAATGTGATTTACAAACCTACTCATTGTATAGAACGACCAACTTTGCAGAATCTATTAACATCAACCATTGCAGATGCAATTTTGACGTCAATGCAACATATTGCTGCAGACATCTACATGTAGACTAGCCGATTAAATTCTCACATGCACGTCTGTACATTAATGCCGGCGTCGAACCCTTTGATCTGCACGGGAAATGTCTCTAATGTCTTAATGAAAAGACAATCCTGATACTAATGCGATTACAGGTGCTAACAGTGGGTCTTAATCAGTCATGCTTTCTACATGTCATGCAATCCTGGTGTAACAGACACTCACATGTTTCATAACACGAAAATGTACGATGCACGCACTTGGAGGCCTTCTCGTATTTTAAACGAAAATACGACTATAATCAAATACTCCTAGCGATCCAAGAGTCTAATAGCGGGTTGAAAGCGCTAATAAAGATTTATAATTATCTACCTTTACAGACCCTGCCAAAACTGCGAACAAGATCTATTTTGAACAGTTATAACGATAGTGAAGGTACGCTGCTACGTATATACGAGGCCACGTAGTGGGGAAAATTGCAAAACACATCGATGATGATAAATATGATATAGAGAAATTGAGCGTCCCAAATATCGTTACCAAACTGTAGAGTCTTCTTCTCAGAAAGACGGTTTGATCTTTTAGTAAGACCAACTCATCATGACCAGAGCGACTTGCTCTTACTGTACATATATATGCAGTATTCAATTGTTTCAGTGGCTTTCTGTAACATGGTACACAGTGGGCGACCGTGGGTAAGTGCAGATGGTAGTAACTGTCTGATACTGTACTGTATGTAAGATGCGAGTCCGATGACCTATCCGTCATATGACGGCACACATGTACATAGATAGGCTAAAGCAGAGAATCCCCTGAAATTATATCTCTATATCCTAGGCTTACCTGGGTGCGACGTAAAACCATGAGATACAAGCGTCCAGCGTCATTCTCTACTCACAAATACAGCTGCTCACGGTACCAGCCTTCTCTGGTATCTAACGTCGCCTCTGATTGGTTGAGATCCTCGGTATCATTACCCAGCATCCCGGGATAAGCCAGTGACGTGTGAAGCTTCGCGGCATTTCTGTCAGATCACAGTCCTCCCTCCCTGCCTCCGCATGATCAATACTTAAGATGGATTCCGTCCACATCAGCAGATGTTTAATATGTATGACGCTTAGCTTCGGCACGCAACGTAGCCGGGAGACACAGATAGCTAGAGATCTGTGTGTAACATATCCCGGTACGCAACAGCGTTAGTTACCTCCATGTACAAGTGGAGGTATTCCATAGTTCTGTTGTTTATCTGTCTGAGTGTCTGTGTGTCTGTCTGTATGTATGTATGTATGTATGTCCGTTTGTTTGTTTGTATTTCCATAGCCATTTCCATATCCCGTGTATAGGCACATCCTAGAAAAGTAAGATTAATAACAAGCAGAATTATATAATTTCCAATCCGTAAATAAAGCTGTAATCAATAACTCAATAAACGTTATTCATCCGATCACCATGTAATATTGAACAGTTCTATATTTAGAAGCCTTTTATTTATACTGCAAATCTCTATAATGGACACTGAAGACCGCTGATTTCTTTGCAAATGTAGTTAATCCTGTCTTTATCGTATCACATCAAGAAAATATTGTCCCATAGGGTCTGTGACGACAATAGATAAGGTTTTGGAAGCGCTTTGATGGATTTTACTAGGATTTTATAACTATAGATTGGTAACAAAGGGGTCAACGGTCTTCAGGTTCCTTTTTGTCTATCTGCCCATGAGGTCATTGACCCTAAAAAGTTCAATTACGTGACCTACATGTAACATGGCGGGTGTTCAGAGCGTCTTCAAATGGCTGGTGAAATACGTTCTTGCCTGGCTCTTAGCCCCGTTTTACATGTTGTCTGCGACATTCGTGTTCATCCTAAGCGTTATCCGCAGCCCTGTGGCGACTCTAAGCTACAGAGTTCGTGATTCTCCCCCGGCAGTCCTTCAGAACGCAGAGCTGGGCACACATGAGTACGTGCGGGTCGGCACCAGTAACATCCGCCTGCACTATGTCGCCTCTGGGGACAGGGACAAGCCTCTCATGGTCTGTCTGCACGGCTTTCCGGAGTTCTGGTACGGAACCTAAGTTTATAGATTTTCCACCGACATTCTTGGGCCATGCCACGTAACCATAAGTTAGACAACAGCCTTTTTAAAACAAAGTTAATTGATTGATTGATTGATTTTATATATCTGCGCCATAGCATTACTCAACGAAAGTAAACAGACGCCTGAAGGTGAAATACAGGGTCCAAATTCCAAAATAAATAGGTAAACATTTCATGCTTTTCTACTAGTATTGCAGTAGACACAGGGCGCGGTCAATGACCCCAAGGTAATTTGATGATATCATGTTTATAATAATACAAGGCTGGAATGTCATAAGTCAATGACCGAAAGGATATCATAAAAGTTAAAGGTGAAAAATGATTTTACTGAACACGACCATGCATAGTATACACGTCTTCAAATGTAGCCACTTCACTTGAATTTTATGATAGCGATAACATTATGGTCATAATGATTATTCTAGAAGCTGTCTAACCAAAACAAATACAAACTGTAACTGTTCCCACAGCAGAACAGATAAAGTGAACACATGGAACAAACTTAAATCCTTTCAGGTATTCATGGCGTCATCAGTTAAAGGCATTCAGTAAGGACTACTGGGTAGTGGCGGTGGATATGAGAGGGTTTGGTGACTCTGACAAGCCACCAGCGGCTGGAGAGTACAAAATTGACAAGATGGGTAAGTAATTAACTAACTAGTCACATCTTGCTACATCAGTGTGAAAATAAGTCAGTTAGCAATGTGGGGAATGCTGTGAACTTTCTATGCTATTTCACATAGAGCACATCATCTGTTGATACATTGTACATATATAACATACAATGATGAGTTTTTTGCTGCACCATGATATATAGTCATATACCAATGTAGGTGACAATTTAACATGAAAAAACTATTTTTACTGTTGTTACAGCTGGTGACATTGTTGACCTCATCGAAGCCCTTGGCCACAGGTCCTGTACTCTTGTGGGTAATGATGGTGGAGCAATCATGGCTGCATGGGTTGCCATGGAACGCCCCGATCTCGTGAAAAAGCTAGTCCTCATGAACGGCCCGGTTAGCCTTTCTGCGGTCCGCCAGTACACCAAGTCACACCCCAAGCAGCTTTTGAAGTTTTGGTACGGTTTCTTCTTCAAGCTGTCCTACCTGCCCGAGATGTGTTTGGGGTTTAACGACCTCAAGTCTCTTGATGTACTCTTGCGAGGGAAGAAAATGGGATGCCGGAGAGAAGATGCCATTACAGATGAGGACCTGGAAGCTTACAAGTATGCCCTCTCACAGCCTGGTGCCCTGACAGCAGTGGTCAACTTTTACAGGTAATATAAACTTATTGGTAACATCTCTCTGGTTGTTAGCATGGTGCTAACAACCATGTAAAGCAAATGTATAATGTTTACCTTCACATGGTCAAGCCTCTTGCTACATAATGTAACCCACTACCACAGGGTGTTTGCTACAGCACCAGTTACCATGGTGACAGCCGTCTGGTCCAGGTCATTGACTTTTTTGGAGAAGAAGAAACAGAGCAAAGCAGAAAAACAATTGTTTCCTTCCACAAAGTTAAAGACAAGAGATTAGTGAACAGTAACATGCTACTTCAATTTCAGAAGTATCAAACGATACAATGAACGACAATGAAAGTACTGTTCCATATTTACAGTCTGTTTAATTTCTCCATTTTAGAGCCAGTGGCTCAAAAGATCGTACCTTCCTATTGACGCTGGTTAAGAACTGGTTGTCTGGACAGCAGCCGCCTGCTGAGCCAATCACAGCTATCAGCTGCCCGTCCCTGCTGATCTGGGGAGACCAGGACGGTGTCCTGGATACAGACTTAGCCAGGGCCATGGCAGAGAGCGTACAGGTGAGACACTTTTCAGTTACTACTTCAGAAATCATCTCATGTTAAAGAATAAATATATCTCATGTTGGCATGTTATAACAAGGCGTTATGTTAATAAAGTATCTGTCTATTTCTTCTAACCAATGCATAATGTATCCTGTTATGATGTAGTATTGTTATCAATACACACATGCTACATAAAATTCCTTTTCTTCTACCTTGCCTTCTGTCTCAGGGCATGAAGCTGGAAATCATTGAAGGTGCAAGTCACTTTGTCCAGCAGGACTTTCCAGACACAGTCAACCGACTCATGACTGACTTCTTCAAAGAGCTCTAAACTAAAGATGTAGTTCTCTGCATAACATTCTTGTTAGGTAACAATCCCTTAACAAGAGCTGATGTTTCAGTGACTGTCTGTCATCTTCATCAGGGCTAATATGACTGGTTTACTGTGTAATGAAGCTAGCCTAGGTGTCACAGTGAACCAGTCACAATAGCAGATGGTCATTGAAACATCGACTCATGTTGAACAAGTAGTTGTGAACAAAGAACTTTGCTGTTCAATCTTTAATCAACCTGATGAAATTATCTACCTAATTGTATGAAACTATCAGGTTCTAGTAGATGGATTTTCTGATATTATAATGTCTGTGGATTTGATGATGGATTTGATGTAGAAAGTCAATAATTGGAAGAACGCCATGATCTAACTAAAAGTTTATTGGAAGCTCTTACAAGGGTACATAGTACATACCACTATGCTAAAGCATGAACTTCAAGATACTTCTTAACATTGCTACAAAAGCACTCCAAAGGACAATTGTATGAGCCAGTTGGCTATAATGTCTTTTATGGGAGGACTCAAAAGATTTGTATGATTAATTCATCAACTTAAGTTATGGGAATAAAGAAAGCAAAGACAATACCAGTTAGTGTTTTCCTATATATACTCTGTGGCTGGTTGACAATCTGCTATTTCGTGAAATTATCATACATGTGTAACAAAAGAAGGCTACCAAATATTTCACCCCTAGTTTTTCATCGTAGTGAAAATAAGCCACTGAATCCACTTCACTGTAAAAATCAAAATGATCAGTTTTTCTAACAGACATTTACAGTAGTTCCTACATTCTACTAAAGCATAAAAATACACATGCAAGTTTGAAGATACTGTTTTTTCTGGTCCACTCCTTACTGTCCACATTTTACCGGTGTGGCATCTAACTACATTACATATTCTGACAACTGACTTATAATAGTGTCTCCACTGAGTAGAGCTAACCAGTTGATATGATGTACATTTTGTAAACAATACAAAGCAAGAGTCTCCATGAAGATTACAATACTACCCACTATACACACACAATTGCTATTGTAGTATTTGTACCATCTTTATACATCAATACAATGCAAGCAATATCTTAAATTCGCCACATTTGCACCATCAAAACTAGCATTTTTCTTAATATTCCTGTACAATATCATGTACAGTTCCTACATGCTTTACCCACTATTAAGAATTCACATGTTGCTCTGGGCACTTGTCTGTCTTGTAATAATGCCCACTAAGTTTCCTATACATGTAGTTATGGTTATTAAATTAACAAGCAATGTTACATAAAGCCACACACAGTATCAATTTTCATTACAGACATTGGGTATTAGTGCTTCAAGGTTATAATTTTTTTCATATACTGTACTGGTACATGTAGTAAGTAGTCTGAGGCATGTTATGTCTGAGAAGGTTGTATGGGCGTAGGACATGTGTCTGAGTCACCAGTACAGTAGGACATGGGGTGTGAATTAGACCTTATAAAGGACAAGGACCCACGTGTCCCTGTGTCTCTCTTGGCCGTGGTCGATTGTGGATGACATTCTTCAGTAAACCCGATACTAAGTAACAGTCATATTCACTTGTCTCCCCTTTTCCTGTGGAAATAGCAATGCCACTCAGCCTCGCTTCGGTTGTTACATGTCTTCTTGCAGATCTGACACAAAAACTTGTAACCTTTATTCTTCTTAACAATCGTGACGTGCTGTGAGAACATGTGATCGAAGAAGTCCAGTTTCTCGCTGAACTGCAGATGTTTGCACTCTGCACGCATGCAGCAGTGGGGATCCATGATCATGTGTTTGTGGTAAGACTCCAGGTGTTTGCAGGTTGCCTCTACTGTGATGTTCATGCCACAAAACTTGCAAGTCACGGGGAGGTTGGATGAAAATGGTATCATGTACAAACGGTGGATTGCGCCAGAGTCTTTGTCGAAGTTTAAGGTGGGAGATGCAGGCAGTTCAGGCGGACGTTGGTTCTGCCAATGCCATGCTAGGTGGTCGTGCGCCTCTGCTGACGTGTACAGCGGCACCTTTGTGCTCTCAATGGTCTCGTAGCTGCATATGGTGCACCTGAACTGAGGCCTGCCCGCATCCTTTGAGCCACCTTGGCTTGGCGGGCGGCCCTGGGAGTATTTCTGACTTGCCGCTCCGATCTTCACAGCTGGTTTCATGTGCCAGTAGAAATGCCACTCCAGGTCTGTTCTGTCCTGAAACTGCATGGTACAGATGCTACATTTCCAGTACCTTTCCTTCACTTCCAGGTCGCAGTGAGCCTCGAACATGTGGCGGAGAAGCTTGTCTTTGGTATTAAAAGTGAGCTTCGAACAGTCTGCACCTCCACACTTTCGAATTTTGTGTTCCAAGTGAATTTTGGTGACATGCCAGGAGCGGGGGCCAGGTAGGGAGAACCTCACCCCACATAAACCACAGCTGTGTGGCTTTTCGTCATCCTCTGTCTGGAGAGTACCGATGTACAGGTCCTTCAGTTGGGCAATGTCATCATCAGAGTTTATAAAAGAAGTCTTCCCTCTCAACTCTTCTGGTACTTGAAACTTGAATGAGATACGATCCGTCCTTGTCGAATTCTTGTTCCCGAGGAAACCCTGGTGGAAGTGGACGTAGAAATGGCGCTCGGCCACAGAGAGCGGCATCAGGGCGTACTGTCGTGGTCTGGTGCTTTCCATGTAACAGATCTTGCAGTAGTAGGTGGCTTCTCTACACTGGTGGCTCTCCAGAAGTAACTTGGACTGAAACGTTTCCGAGCAGAACTTGCATGTCAGATTTTCCTCCTCCTTACTACTACTATCTTCTTCCTCCTCTTCCTCACAATAGTCATCTTCATCATCTTCTTCCTCCTCGCTCTCCTCCTCGACTGCTGTGCTCCTAGATGCGGTGGCACATCCTTGTTTCTGTCTCTTCCTGGAAGCAGCAGACCCTCGATGACCTCGCTTGACCTGTCCAGCCGTGGACAGGCTCCCTGCTCCGCCCATGGGCACCACGTGTGATGATGATGATACAGTCCATATCCTCACGGGGTCTGCACGCTTTATCTTTGGGGCGGCACCTTTTTCTTCATCAGACGATGATGTATTTTCATCAGACTCGACATAGTCTGGATCATCAGCCTCCAGAAGGGCGTTTTCAAAGTCACTGTCTGATGACTCTGAGTCTGACATATTTGCTAGAATCTTTACTCTGAAAAGACACAACAAAGATTAGTTAGATTCAAAGGAAACTCAGGTTACAGGATCAAAGGTACAGAAATAAAGTTATGGCTGTGTGTGTGTGGGGGGGGGGGGTGGCTAGCCTTAGCCAGTCCGCAGTGCATTCTGAGACCTGGCAAGTGGGCAAATAATGTACCTTTTTACTGTCTACTTGAATTTAAGTAAAATTTTGATAACGGGCAAATAATATATGCTGAACGATTTCAGAAAAGTGACAGAGCGTACAGTAACTGTTACACTGTACCTATGATAGGTTTTTGAAAACAATTTCACCATACTTAATCAACTACATAATGTAGTAAAACATATTCAACCCCCCGTAACTGCTTCTCTTTGTTTGTACCAAGGAGGCTTGTATTTAACCTACTTGTTTATACAATGTACTTTTGGAAATTGGAACACAAGTCCATTGTTAGAATTTTCCACCTTAAACCGCCCCCCTCCCCACAAACCGACATTCAAACAAATCACGTTCACGCAACTACGTACTAGTCCTGCATGCAATGTTCCAACTTCCAAGCTATTCTTCTATTTGTAACGATCTACAACAACGGTCAGCGGCTCCGAGGCCCCGATATGTTTCTCAAGAACGCCAGAAAATAATTTATATGCATGCAGAACACGCGGGAACAAGCGTTGGCATCACGAAGGCAAAAACGCAACCTTTGTTGCATGCAACCAAGTACAGTAGTCGACAGAGAGGCTAGTCGGCAACACAAAGGGGACATGCAGATTAAACAGACAAATATATACCAGCCTTACCTGGAAACTGAACTTTAAACGACGCCCAGGTAACACTCAAATTATATTCGGGCGTGCTCCTCTCCTCCTAGACGGTAAGCCCAGGAAGTGATGTAATGGATAGCTAGCATCGCAAGGGACGCCTTTTTACTTCCGGTGGGTCACTGGGAGATGGCAGTTCTGATCTAATCCGCTAGGAGACATAGCCAACTAGCCTCTACCAGGCTTGAGGCGCCGGCTGGAAAGAGTAGAAATCGACCAAAATAGAGAGATAAGCTCTCTATTTTGGTCGATTTCTACTCTTTCCAGCCGCCTCCTCAAGCCTGGTAGAGGCTAATAGCCAACACTAACCAGCTGATATGTGTCTGAGACACTGGTGACTGTCCTTCTTGATTGCCTGTCATCTATCAATTTCATTTTTTTACTGGCTTAAATGAAGAGCAGTACAAAATTTTGTAAGGTGTGTCTTGTGAAAGTCTTTATTTAGATGAAATAACAGTTAAATAAACGAATAAATAAACACTGTAGAATCAAGTAAGGTCGCTAACCATCACTATTTATTATTATTATGCACATGCAGGATACATTTTCAATCTACTTATGACATGCCTAAGTCCATAGTAGACACTGGTAAACTACCTTGCCTCTGTAGGATCTGCTTGGAAATTAAGGCTAACAACATACTATCTGTATCATCAGTATGTAGTGTGACAGGCTGAATAAAAGTTCTAAATGGGAACTGTGCAGAGTTCTTATCCTTAGGAACATGTCCTTATACTGAGGGACAACTGCATGTGCAAGGTGTCGGCTAGATTGGGGAGTGAATCCCCCCTACTATGTGCAACAAGCTATGTACATGCTATTAATCAAAGTGACCAATTAGTTTTGTAAATTAGTTTTTGTGTAGTGTTAAACTCCATCCACCATCAACAGGACCTTGTTATTTGACCCATAGTGAAGAGTGGAGATACTTCCACCGCACACACTTGATTTTGCAAATGTTACCTTTCTAGTTGTAGTATATATGATAGGTAAGTCCATTGTCTAACCCAATCCTTATAGACATCTCAACTGAGTCTGTTTTTCAACGTTCATCTTCATTGAGTGTGGAAGTAGCAGTGCCATTCCATCTGACCTCGACTCTGAAACGTCTTATGGCAGATCAGACACAAGAACATGAACGTTTCCCTCTTCAGAACGCTGACGTGCTGCATGAACATGTGACCAAAGAAGTCTGGCTTCCTTTTGAACTGTAGATGCTTGCACTCTGGCTGCATGCAGCGTAAAGGTGGCTTTACGTACTCTTTGTGCCAAGCTAAGGTGTGTCTGCATATGCCTTCTACAGATTCCTTCTTACCACAGAACTTGCATTTCACAACTAGCCCAGGTTTATGTGGGGCCAGGTACATGGAACGGATTGTCTCATAGTCTTTCCCAAAGTTGAAAACATTTGGATTCTTCCGCATTTCTGGAGGAAGTTGCTTCCGCCAGTGCCAGCTTAAGTGTTGACATGCCTTTGCAGCTGTGTACAGTTGTACAGTAATAGTACTTTCCACAGACTCAAGACTGCATATTGTACATCTGAACTGAGCTTCACTAGCAGCTTCTGACTCTGAATCCTTTTGTGGTTGACCAAGGGAGTTTTCCTGAGCTGATGGTGCAAAGTCCACATCTGGTTTCATATGCGAGTAGAAATGCCACTCCAACTCTGTTCGTTCCTGAAACTGCATGGTGCAAAACTTGCACTTGAACACATACCCCGACTGTTCCTTCACGACGTCACCGTGTGCTCGAAACATATGGCAGAGAAGCTTGTCATGTTGACAACAGGCATAAGTCGTCTTTTTACACTTGATCCCGGATGGTCCGCATTTCCGCCTCTTGTGGCCCAAGTGAGCTTTGACGTGCTGCACTCGAGCACCCGCTGTAGTAAAGGTTGCACCACACAGGCCACAGGTGTGTTGACTATCCCCCCCAGACGGAGAAATACCGATGTACAGGTCCTTCAGAAGATTTACCTCCGAATACTTCAGGGTTGTCAATTGCCTTTGCAGCTCTTCAGGGAATTGATACCTGGGGTTTAACTTCTCCTTAATAGAGGGGTCCTTTCTTGCAAAGTAACCCGGATGGAAGTGCATGTGGAAATGGTGTTCAGCTTTAGGGAGCGGCATCAGGGTGTGCTCGCGTCGTCTGGTACTCTCGTGGGAACAGATCTTACAGAAGTAGATGGCAGCCTTGCAAAGGTGAGCTTCTAGCAGAATCTTTCTGGGAAATGTTGACAAGCAGAATTTACATTTCAGAGATGTGCTGTTGTCAACATCACTGTCAATAACATCATATTCATTCTCACACTCCTGCTTGACAATTGTACTCCCAGGTGTGGTAACATTTCCTTGTCTTTGTCTTCTAGACGTTCCAACTGCAGATTTTTTATGACCTCGTGTGAGCTGTTCTGCTCTGGGCATGTGAAGGTAGATGGCAGCCTTGCAACGGTGAGCTCCTAGCAGAGTCTTGCTAGGAAAAGTTGACGAGCAAATTGCACACTTCAGAACTGTGCTGTTGTCAACATTACTGTTATTAGCATCATCTCCCCCCTCACACTCCTGCTTGACAATTGTACTCTCAGGTCTGGCGATGTGTCCTTGTTTTTGCCTTTTACTTTTAGAGATTCCGACTGCAGATTCTTGACGACCTCGTTTGACCCGTCCTGCAATGGACCCATGAAGGTCACATGATGTTACCTCCATGGAGGACTGATCGATGCCTTGTGCATCTTCATCACTCGATAATGACTGGGTACCAATATCAGTATTTTCATCCACTGAACATGTTTGAGTTGTGTGGCTCCCTGTTTCATCCATAGGCACTAGATGTGATGATGTAACAGCCCACTTCCTAAAAGAATCTTGTTCTTCATTTTGGTCGTCAGTGTTATGATGTACATCATCATACTCTGGATCATTTGGCTCCTCCTTGATACAGGCACTTTCATTTTCTGTTTCAGAGTTCCTGACAGAATCTTGTTCTTTCTCTTGGTCCTCTGTTGTCAGTGCTGGGACGTCAGTGTTATGATGTACAGCATCATACTCTGGCTCATCTGGCTCCTCCTTGATAGAGACACTTTCATTTCCTGTTTCTGACTTGACATTGGGGAGCACAGGGAAAGTATTACTGTTTGAGCCTTTTTCACTCAAGGTACTTTGTTCACATCCTTCTTCTTCTTTTTCTGTTTCCATGTTTGTATCAGTGGGAAACATTATTAACAAGAATATTGTCCAGAGTTGTCTCTAAATCTTCAATTGACATGTTCTGAGCATCCTGGTTTGCCCTGTCACATATTTCATGATCATATGGCTCTTCCTTGATATCAAGGGTACTGTCAGACTTCTCTGTTGAGTATTTGCTAGGACTCTGGTCACCGGACATGTTTGTTTGATGCCCAAGCAAGTCCAACACTGTCTGGGGCGCCCGAATTTTTTTCCTGAAAAATACACAACAAAAAACATCCATGAGACTCAATGATAATATCGTCTCGTCATCCTCAGGATAGTAGTTAGTTAACTGGGGAGACAATAATTTGTTAGTAGGCTAGCATGTGGATTTTTTATGGGCGTGGGGAGGGGGCCATTTTTATCGGTTCGGCATGCAGAGTGAAAGACCAGTCTAGAAAAAATCGGCTGCGAAAAATCGAGCTGTTTTTACCGTCACTGTTGTTTGCTGCTAGTAGTCCTCTTTCCTTGATTCTCCATAAAGCCTGAATTAAAGGCGCACGGGTGCTCGATCAATGGGCAAAACACAAAGAAAACCGATCAGCTTTCTTTTTGCCTTCCCAGAATCCTTTGTGCTTTTTTTTCAGAATCACTGCAGTACGTTTAACATCCGCTAGATGGCAGTGTCAATATATTCAATGACGTTTGAGTTCAGCTGAGCTCAGATTCACGAGGAAATATTTTCTCTGTGTACAAAGTTTCTGTGCTGTTTACTGCTACTAAAAACAACAGTCAGGATAAATAACTGATTGGATTATTTTGCTGTTAGCCGGATGTCCGGCTATGAACAAGCTATGTACATGCTATTAACCGTTAATTAAAGTGACCAATCAATTGTGTAAATTAGCTCTGGTGTAGTGTTAAACTCCACACACCATCAACAGGAGTTATTTGACCCATAGTGAAGAGAGGAGATACTTCCACTGCCTATGTAAGGGGTTCGTTGTTGATCGTCGTGGGATTTCCGCCTCCGAGTAAAGTAAGAGCAAGACAAGAAAAGAAGAGGACACAGAGCAACAAAAAAAAGACGTCCGTACACAAAGACTTCAACTCAAAAACCTCTTGTTTATTCTAAGAACGTGATCGAACGTCGTCGATCTTAACGTATACGTACGGATCCTAACGTAGCCGTTCGGACGTCGAACGGACGCTAACGTCGCCGTTCGAACGTCCGAACGGCTTACCTAATGCAACATCTAAACACCTTATGTCATTCCCTACACCTACACACGGACAACTTGATTTTGACTCAACCATGCACATAATTAATATAAAGATGGTTACTGCTCAGCTGTATCATGTTTCCTTAGACTCATTTCATTGTAGAATTTGTTAGTGTTTCATTATGTTTTATCATCGCAGGACATATTGTTTTTACTCAGTTTCTTCTTCCTCTTCTCCTTTAAATAAATAAGGTCAATTACAACGACCAGACGTCTGTCACCATGGTAACTGGTGTTGGGTTACATGATGATGTGCCATACAGAGCTGAGTTCAAGAGGGGCTGCGTGACCACCATATATATGAGTGTGTTTGGGTAAGAATAAACAAAACAGTAGTTTGTTAAGCTGGGCCATGTGAAGGTAAACATAATGCATTTGCTTTGCAGATGTTACCTTTCTAGTTGTAGTATATATGATAAGTAAGTCCAATGTCTAACCCAATCCTTATACACATGTCAACTGAGTTTTGTTTTTCAATGTTCATCTTCATTGAGTGTGGAAGTAGCAGTGCCATTCCATCTGACCTCGACTCTGAAACGTCTTATGGCAGATCAGACACAAGAACATGAACGTTTCCCTCTTCAGAACGCTGACGTGCTGCATGAACATGTGACCAAAGAAGTCTGGCTTCCTTATGAACTGTAGATGCTTGCACTCTGGCTGCATGCAGCGTAAAGGTGACTTTAGGTACTCTTTGTGCCAAGCCCCCATGTGTTTGCGTATGCCTCCTACAGAGACCTTCTTACCACAGAACTTGCATTTCACATTTAGCCCAGGTTTATGCGGGGCTAGGTACATGGAACGGATTGTCTCGTAGTCTTTCCCAAAGTCGAAAACACATGGAGTCTTCCGAATTTCTGGAGGAAGTTGCTTCCGCCAGTGCCAGCTTAAGTGTTCACATGCCTTTGCAGCTGTGTAATGTTGTAACGTAGTACTTTCCACAGACTCAAAACTGCATATGGTGCATCTGAAGTACTGGAAGTACTGAACTTTACCAGCAGCTTCTGACTCTGAATCCATTTGTGGTTGACCAAGGGAGTTTTCCTGAGCTGCTGTTGCAAGCTTCACATCTGGTTTCATGTGCGAGTAGAAATGCCACTCCAACTCTGTTCGGTCCTGAAACTGCATGGTGCAAAGCTTGCACTTGAACACATACCCCGACTCTTCCTTCACTACGTCACAGTGTGCTCGAAACATATGGCAGAGAAGCCTGTCGTGTTGACAACAGGCGTAGGATGTCCTTATACAACTGGTCCCGCCGCATGTCTGATACTTGTGGTCCAAGTGAGTTTTGACGTGCTGCACTCGAGCACCCACTGTAGTAAAGGATGCATCGCACAGACCACAGGCATGTCGATCATCCCCCCCAGACTGAGACACACCGATGTACAGGTCCTTCAGAAGAGGTACCTCCGAATACTTCAGGGTTGCCCGTTTCCCTTGCAGCTCTTCAGGGAATTGAAGCCTGAAGTTTAACTTCTCCTTAATAGCGGGGTCCTTTCTTTCAAAGTAACCCGGATGGAAGTGCATGTGGAAATGATGTTCAGCTTCAGAGAGCGGCATCAGGGTGTGCTCGCGTGGTCTGGTACTCTCATGGGAACAGATCTTACAGAAGTAGATGGCAGCCTTGCAACGGTGAGCTTCTAGCAGAATCATTCTGGGAAACGTTGACAAGCAGAATTTACATTTCAGAGATGTTTGCGTGAGCTGTCCTGCCGAGGGCATGTGAAGGTAGATGGCAGCCTTGCAACGGTGAGCTCCTAACAGAGCCTTGTTGGGAAAAATTGACTTGCAGAATACACACTTCAGAGGTGTGCTGTTGTCAACTTTACTGTTATTAGCATCATCTCCCTCCTCACACTCCTGCTTGACAATTGTACTCTCAGGTGTTGTGACGTGTCCTTGTTTTTGCCTTTTACTTTTAGAGATTCCAACTGCAGATTCTTGATGACCTCGTTTGACCTGTCCTGCAATGGACCCATGAAGGTCACATGATGTTCCGCTCCTTGCCTCCATGGAGGACTGATCCATGCCTTGTACATCTTCATCCCTTGATAATGACTGGGTACCAATATTAGTATTTTCATCCACTGAACATGTTTGAGTTGTGTGGCTCCCTGTTTCATCCATAGGCACTAGATGTGATGATGTAACTGTCCACTTCCTGACAGAATCTTGTTCTTCATTTTGGTCATCAGTCTTTATACATGTATGATGAACATCAGCATACTCTGGACCATTTGACTCCTCCTTGATACAGACACTTTCATTTTCTGTTTCAGAGTTCCTGACAGAATCTTGTTCTTTCTCTTGGTCCTCTGTTGTAAGTGATGGGATGTCAGTGTTATCATCCATAGCATCATACTCTGGATCATCTGGCTCCTCCTTGATACAGACACTTTCATTTCCTTTTTCTGACTTAATATCTGGAAGCACAGTATTACTGTTTGAGCCCTCTCCACACAAGGTACTTTGTTCACACCCTTCTGTTTCTTTTTCTGTTTTCATGTCTGTATCAGTGGGGAAAACATTATTAACAAGAATATTGTCCAGAGTTGTCTCTAAATCTTCAATTGACATGTTCTGAGCATCCTGGTTTGCCCTGTCACATATTTCATGATCATATGGCTCTTCCTTGATATCAAGGGTACTGTCAGACTTCTCTGCTGAGTATTTGCTAGGACTCTGGTCACCGGACATGTTTGTTTGATGCCCAAGCAAGTCCAACACTGTCTGGGGCGCCTGTCTGGAATTTTTTGTCCTGAAAAATAAACAAAAAACATCCATGAGACTCAATGATAATATCGTCTCGTTATCCTCAGGATAGTAGTTAGTTAACTGAGGAGACAATAATTTGTTAGTAGGCTAGCAAAGTGTGGTCATTTAAAAAATGTGGATTTTTTATGGGCGTGGGGAGGGGGGCATTTTTATCGTTTCGGCATACAGAGTGAAAGACCAGTCTAGGAAAGATCGGCTGCGAAAAATCGGGCTGTTTTTACCGTCACTGTTGTTTGCTGCTAGTAGTCCTCTTTCATTGATTCTCCATAAAGCCTGAATTAAAGGGCGCACAGGTGCTCAATCAAGATTATCAATGGGCAAAACACAAAGAAACCGATCAGCTTTCTTTTTGCCTTCCCAGAATCCTTTGTGCTTATTTTTTCTTTCAGAATCACTGCAGTACGTTTAACATCCGCTAGATGGCAGTGTTATACAATATATTCAATGACGTTAGAGTTCAGCTGAGCTCAGATTCACGAGGAAATATTTTCTCTGACTACAAAGTTTTTGTGCTGTTCACTGCTACTAAAAAATAACAGCCAGGATAAATAACTGATTGGATTATTTTGCTGTTAGCCAATGAGCAAGTCGGATGTCCGGAACCACCTGTTGTTCGGCAAACATCGATAATCTCCGGCTATTTCCGTGAAATGTTTTCCAAAAATGGCGGAGGTTCAAAACAGGATTTTTGCCATGGATGAGGAAAAACGTGAAATGCAGGTCAGTAGGCCACGTATTCAGAGCTTTATTATGCTCCAAGTGTTTATTGATTTCTTTCAGAACATAAGCTATCTATATGATGGTTGGAAATCCTTTGTATATGCACGAAAACTCGGTTATATGGGGACAGATACTCGTGACTTATATTTTTGTGCCCCCCTCCCCCATAGCAAGCGTCCCTAGTGATATTGTCAAGTTATTTGGAAGATAGAGTCACTCATTTCAAAAGAACACATTAAGCTGATTGTTAATTGGCCTTAATTATTATTATTGTGAGCTTAGTACAGACTGGGGGTGCTCAGTAGTGCAGGTGAAGTTCAAGTTCAATGTTCAAGGACCAAAGAAAAGTTATGTCATCATATCAGGGCATCTAGGATGTTCATTTTGCATGTAGTATGATAACATGTTGGTTCTTTTACCACATACAAAATAATAACTATGATATACAAATTCAAATCTAGTACTATGTATTTATTACGCAGATTGAGCAAGTAAGGAAACTCTGAAATATGTTATAACATAATATTACAAAAGATGAAATTATCTACAGACTGTGAAGAAATGTCAGATGGCAGAATGGTCAGGCTCTTTTGCTTACAATTGTGTAATTATAATGTAATAAAATATCTTTGTTACCTGTCTTCTTTCTACAGATAATGTCCTAGACTGACTGCTTGCTGTGAGGTCCTGTTCAGTTCACTTCCACACAGGCACTGTTCTACCAAATCGCAGGCACCCTGATACCTTATACCACCATGGCTTCTTCAGACCTCTTGTCGCTGATCGCTCTCGGACACAAGTCCTCGGAACTGGAGATCCAAGTCCTGCATGGTCTGAGAGCACAGCTGGCACCCCGGCCGGTCAGCCAAGCACCCAGCAACTCCTCTGTAGACTCTGAGGAACAGGCGTGGCTCGCCATAGCAACCAGCTCATTAGGGGACGAGGAGAACGACCCTTTCCCCGACAAGCAGCCACAAGTGGTGTGGGGCAGCCAGGCGGACCTGAACGCCGTGACGCGCTACTTGTTCGAGCGGCGGTTTGGCTGGTCGGAGGCGCTGCTCTGCGCGAAGGACGGAGACGGCCAGGGGTCGTCCCAAGGTCAACTGTTGACCAAAGACAATGGGAAGTTCAAGGGTCAGCTGAATGAGATGTTGGATGAGTTCCTGAAATGGTAAGGCCAAGCGGTGGTGCTTTATTTGTTTATGCAAGTGTTTGTATTTCCTACTGATAAAGTACACCAGGGGTCTCCTCAGAACTTTCTAGGGCAGAGGTGCTCCTAATCGTTTGATTTTACAAAAAGAAATCAGGGAATTTTCATGAAAATACTAATAGAAAACCCTAAATTTGAACATTTTGGGTGAGGTGCTAGGATTTTAAGGGAGCACCCTTGCTTCATTGCTTGGAGAGAGCCCTGGTACACACAAAGGCACTGCAGATGAATGACTAGTTCGTGACTTCAAATCCAAAGAGAAGTCAAAAAGACTGTCTTGTGTCATTGTTATATAACAAAAAAGTGCATCAATCACAAATTGTTGATCACTGATGGCTAGTACTTAAAGTTGATTGATTAGAGAAAGTGACATGGGCATTTTCAGTGTCCTTACTTGTGTTGTACATTATGACAGTCTCAGATGAACTAACCAACTCAAGTCAAAACCATTTTCACCATATAGTTCTCACCAAGAAACCCAACCCGTGATTCCATTAAGAATTTGCTAATTGCTTCCAATTACTAACTTGTTAATATGCAAACCATTCTCTTCCTCTTCAGTGCCCAGGAATTTTGGGGTGTTTGAGTGGTTTTTCACTTTCTTTTCAAGCCCCACAGTTTGCTATTGTTAGCAGGGTAGAGTTACCTGGTTAAGTAGGTGTGTTGTTCCGCTTGTGTTGTGATGTTGACTCAGGCACCTCCAGAAGCAGATTTCATTTCGGGGAAATAGATTTAGGAACTTGTAACAGTTACTGCATGCTCAAAGTAGTCAGGGAATTTTTGTGCTTTATTTCTTAAGTTCTAAAATGTTATTTTTAATCATATCTTAGAGTTTATATAGATAATGAAGGATCTTTCAGTTGAATTGAAAAACAGATGTTATTTCCGAAAATAGTTTCATCAGGTTGGTAAAACTTAAGAGATATGGGAATTCTTTTTACACAACCAAAGAGTCTCACCTCGCTGACGTTTCGGTGTCTGTCAGACACCTTCTTCAGAGCTTCTGACTGGAGTACTGCATCTCGCCGCTATATGTAGCCGATGTTATTTGTTTATAAACAGGAAAGAGACAATTTGAAATAAATGAAAATATACTGAAAGGAATGTTAGTCTCCAAAAACACCAAATCCTTTTCAATGGAAGATATTAACAAAACCCAAATTTTTACTATCTGAAATATATTCTAATTTCAGGGGGGTCTTTGAATTTGGAACTGCTTTCTCCTGTAATATCCTCAATTCATCATTAGAATATGTAAAGAAAATCTACATTAAAAAGATCTATTGATGTGAAATCATAACATACTCCTTTATTCAGCCAGCATATTTCTACATGTGTTTTCCACATGCCCAAAGTTGATGAATGAGTCCATTGTGTTTGTTTTTCTTCCCTACAAAGTATAAGCTCTCAGTCAGTCCGTCATGTTTGAATCGAAGGGCCCAAACTAAAGAAATTCATTTCATCCTGCCTTGAATTGAATCTTTTATAAATCTATCTGCAACTATTGAGACCAAATCTTCAGTGCGTATCAACGTGGCAGAAGCGTAAAGATACGGGAAGAAACCATATTTTGCCTGCGTGGGTGTTATTGTTTTTCTGGAGGAGGCATATCATTATTCATGTTTGCAAGGAAACCATGAATGTTACCATGGTAACCTAAATCGATTACAAGATTGCTATGGCGTTGGTTACGTGCAGCTGTAATCCAATACACACAATCCACAAAGTACATCACATCATGGGCCAAACCAGCGTCAGCTTGGAAAATGGCACCACCTGTTGAAGGTAATATAAAGTACTAGTAGTAGGGCTTAGAAGTGAATATATACTACATGTACATGTATAAAAGGAGTTAAGCAGAGTACAGACGATAAGAAATTGATAGTTTTCCTCCGATGCTGTTTCAAATGGGCTCTGTACTCGTGGTTTTCATTTCATTTCATACATCTGATTCAGAGCAAGCATGTTAGATATGCAAGAAAAACTGAAACCAGTCAGCTTTTCTGCCAAAGTGCAAGTTAGTAAAAAGGGTTAGTTGATTGAAAACAAAACAGTTCAGCTTTTGAAGGCTAATTAGTTGAAGTCCAAGAGAATTTTTAGCTGAAAGCAAATATACTTTGTCACAAGATTTTGTTTTGAAACTAAGCGATGTGCACCAGGCATGATAGTTGAGTTGGCCCTCAGCTGCTATTTTTGAAACATGCTCCTGGCTCCTGACTGAGTCAGATATTGCACAAAGACATCAAAGGTGACTGAGGTTTGCAACATCAGGGAGGTTTTCAGCTCTTTTCTGGGAAATTCTAGCATGTTAGAGATCGGGTCTAGTGGAGATCTTTATTCTTACACTTCTCTTTCTAGGTAGGTTTTTTACTTGCAAATTGTTTGGGACCCATTATGTGTTATCCTTTCTTTGCTTCGTCAGACAGTAACACCTTAGATATGTTAAACTTGATGGAAATTACCTGACTAGATTATTGAGAAACTTGGAATTTTGATCTTTTTTTGTTGACACTTTTGCAACCTTGAAAATGTACAGAATCCCAAGGGCAATGATAGTAGGCTGCTGACTACTTTTAGTCGGCAACGACATGTTTACTGGATTAAGATCAGCAAAATTTCTGGAGGTCATATGAAATATAGATACAATATTTGTGTCAAGATTTGTATGGATTTATTTTTTAAACTTTCTCCTTTACATGAGCGTTTTACTGTAGTTTCTCCTGTCAAATCCATCTCTTGGGTGTTTACATGTACAAGTGTGTTTATGTGTGTCTATGCATAGTATACAGGGCTTAACACTGTAAAATATATTTGCTGGAGTTTATATGGAAAGGGTCACTTGTGCATAGAATGGTAATCCATGAGTAATTGGCCCCATCAGGAAAATTACTTGTTCCTTAGGGGAATTAAAGGAAGATAAAACAGTACCCTAATGATAAGTGGTCAAATCAGTTGACACCTAGACCCGATTTACGTTACCTCTGGGACTGGTGTTAACAATATGAATGTAGGTTCCTGACCTACACATTTATATGTGCAGGAAAAATTCGATGTACACAGTTTTTGTACGCTAGTTTGCGTACGCAGTTTTCGTACGTCCAGTTTTGTCTTGTGTGTAAATGAGATCCTGGACTGAAACTGGCCTAATTCTTATAACACTTTCTACAGATTACATTGGCTATATTGAAACAAGACTACATAAAAACTGACAGTAAAATAAAACTTGGACTTGTAGTAAGTTACACCGATTTGTAGCTGTAACTTGAGTGAGAGTAACAAGTCTGGGAAACAGAGAATTATACCAAGCTGGCCTAATGTGGCCTAATGGACTGTGTGTGTTACAAGATGTCATTAGGTCCCCAGACAGAAATAGGTCACGTTCTGAGGTCTGTTTAAGAGTGTTAAAAACACATATCAACCTCGCACTTATTTTACATGTAGCTGCAAAAGCAAAAGATTAACATCATGTTCTAGGAAGTGAAACGTAGGCACTGGGTTCCACAGTAGATTTCTGCAGAAGTTTGAAATATCTATTCTTCTTACAACTTTTGCAGACTTTAAATGCCTTTATGTCTGAAATGAATTATGAAATGAATTATTTTGTTATTTACATTCAATGTAACATCACAAATGCTTATTCAATCGATCAATCAATCAATCAATCAATCAATCAATCAATCAGTAACCTGAATATTTTAACCTTCTCCCTGCTGCCTTATATTTATTACTATGTGACCAAAGTAAAATTTGTGCCAAAGGCTATACCTTAGCAAGTTGAAGGTTAACACTAGCAAACGTTAATATGAAGGATGTTACATAATTTATATAATATATGTTAAACTTTATAATTGACAGCATTAAGAAGAATTATTTGATCCAGCCTCAAGTAATTGCCTATTTCTCTGTGACCTTTTGAACTGAGATACTCCTAAGCAGATTTAGCTTGACCCAAGGCAATATGTGCTGCTGTAGGGATCCTGTAATACATCTACTGCCACATACTTCTCCCAGTAATCCAGATGTGTGTGTGTAAGACGGTGTTATAAGATTATAACACGCAGCTGTTGGTTCAGTCAGGTTTGCACGAACCATAAGCTTAGTTGCCATGTATACAGAGTGGGGGACAAGAACACTACAGGTTTTAGAGCTTGAATGGTCTTTTTATGACAGGTAACTGTAAGTTTTATTGCATTAAAAAGATCAGCTGGATGTGGAGAATTTGAGGGTAATGTTGGCAGTAATAATGGTAGTTAAGTTTTTCTCTGTGAACACCTGGTGCTAAGGTAAGACTGGTAATGGGAACTATGGTCTGTCAATCAGACTCAATGGCTGAAAAAAAATTAACCTGGTCTGAGTCAGAATAATATCTAAGAACCAAGTTTAAAAAACTGAAAGTCGTGAACCAAATCCCTTCTTTGGACTGGCAACAAAGAACAAATATTCTACAGACATTTCTATTTAGACATCTTATAAGGTCCGTAAAAGGTACAAAAATAATCCAGAATGAACCCAGATTAGCCTAAATTCATATGCTTGTGCATTAAAAATAACTACCACAGATCTAAGTATACCATAGAAATTTGTAGGCTTTAACAGTATATCTTTCCAGTATACAGTTCAAAATCAATTTCACAGGTCTTCTCCAAAATATGATACAGTACTACTGTTACTCTAATTCTGGACCCTCCCCTTTCTGTCAGTGTGAGAAAATGTCCCTGTCCGTGGTTCTGAAAGGCTGGTTTTACAGATCAAGAGTCTTAGTTAGACTATGTTCATGTATCTTAAAATTACAGTCACCTTGTCCGTGATAATACAACGTTTCAAATATATGCCATGGCAGTAGTCAATTATTAGCAAGTCGTTAATAGTATAAGAGAAGACAAATTTGTGCTATTGGCTAAATGTGCTGATGGCAACTTAGAGCAGACAGATGCACTGCATGCAAAAGTCATGTTAGAAAAAATGTCAAATGACAAAAAATGAGTTCTCAAGTCAAGAGCATAAAATCACCACTTTTAACTGTTCATTTTGTGGTTTCATTTTAAAAAAGCCATACCATATAGAGAAGTAATGTTGATTTGTCCTGGTTAGACAAAGGTGTACAATGTATTCCTCAAAGTGCTAAGCTGTGTTTGGTAAAAATAACACTGTGGATTATAAACACGATGCACGTTCCTTTTGTGTGAGTGTAATTTACATAAACCATACTTTGGTAGTGTGCAATAATGCAGCCATATTTGTTCGCATCCTTTGCAATAAAGACCTTCCTATTCTTAATCTTTGTACTCTTTTTACATTTTTTAATCATTTCACTCTTATATATAGTATAATAGACAAAGCTTTGAGTACGTTTGTCCTTTAGAAGTTGCTTGCTAACCTGTCCACAGTTTTCCTGTTTATACGTATATAAATGATAAGATTATTTGAGTTGTCAATAGATGTTTCAGTTGTCAACAGATGTTGGCACAACGTGTAACAGTAGCAACCATAATATTTGTTTTTACCGAGTTGGGTTTATCCTGGTCCTGTTTGCAACCATCTCCAAACTGTGTGCCTGCGATATATATGCACAACATTTCAGTAGGTGTCCTTCTGTTTGTTAACTATCGTTGGATACATACCCTTACTGTTGAATGGTCTGTATGGGCATTTGGTTGTAGTCTAAGTGTTGTACACTATAGCTGTTCGCATGTACTCATTCCTTAGCGACATGTCCTGTTAAGTGTGTTAATGCAATATTGGAAATCGTATGGTTACAAAAGCCTGGGCTAAGCCTCAGGACAGTAAGAGTATCTACAAAAATCTTTTCTCCTGAGAGATGTTTTTTCTGCTTCCATCCTTTGTTTTAATGAGGCATGGTTTTAGTCCTGGACTTCTTTTCTCAACAGCACAAGACAATAAGACAAAATTGTCACCAGTTTTATTCCTTTTCTTGTAAATGTTCAGCTAAACTAATTTTTTTCTTATGGAATACTAGTACAAGTCCTGAGGTTAGGGATAGGTACAACAGTTACTGCCGTCACGCTAACCCATAATCACATCGTTAAATATTAATGTCTTCTTTCACTGTTCATCTATGGATATTTTGACACTTAAAATCCCTCTACCAAAAAAAAAATCACATATGGTAAATGGAATTCAAATATTCCAATTGTCAACCAATGTTTCTCAGTGTTTTAAAAGATTTGTGTGGTGTTACTTATGATGATGGGATGTTTACTGTAGTTTTTGTTGTTGTTTACAGGTTCTTCTGCCAAAACCTGTGCATGCCGCTGCTGCAAAGTCTTCTCAGTACCATCCAACAAGGTAGGATTTGGACTTTGTACATTTGTATACATGTAGTTAGATTAACTTATTAGATAGGTTATCTGCCTAAATTTTCTTGAAGTGTGACATACGAAGATTTGGCTTTGTGTTGTGAATTTGCAAATTATTAAGCATCTGTACACATTTCAGCTGTGTACAATTCTTGCTTTCCACAGAAGCAGTAATTTTGATATGCTGATACCTGGAACTTGCAAGCATGTCTGTATAGCGTGACAAGACACCATGTACACATGCATAAATCATTGAGTGCAGTAGTGCAGTTACAATCAGATCAGTTGTTACGTTCTCTGTGGTATACACAGTGTGCAGGAGGAATAGAAGGGCTGTCAAGCAAGACTGACACCTCAGGGCTATTTCACTGGAATGATATACAAGATAAGAAGTATTCTAAAAGGCATGTCTAGACACCTTGAATTAAACACTGTCTGATACTAGTGATAGCATGCACTGCACACTGTGTGTAGATCAGATATTTTCTGGTTCAAGTGAGTGTAACTGTTCTTGGAAATGTTATTTCAGTTATGACATACTCTAATTTTGATCATTTTCAAGTGTATAAAAGGATGAATAAAACCATGCTAAAAAAAAAGACCTTCCACCTAAGCAAAAAAGATAGAATGTAGGTTAAAAGTGTCAGCATTCATGAGCAAGATTTTTTGACTGTGTGAACTATTGAATGATTATAACACTTCAAAAGTGTGCCCATATATTATTGATGCTATCAGTGGCAGAGATTTTCCCTTCCTGTAACATTTTCAGCCCATGACAATCTCCTTTTGACTCGTAGAACAGTTATTATTAGACATCACGGTCTTCCCAAGAGAGACATCTATCACGTTATGGATCATAAATGCCACGTGCCTGCATGTGACGCTGTATTTCTCACAGGAGCAAAGCAATAAAAATGCTTCAAGTACTTACATCTGACCCCATTTCTGTAGAATGACCTGGTTTGAAAATGTGTCTTTTGGAAAATGTTATACATGTAATACCAGCATACCCTCTTTGTTTCACGTAACCTTGAATGTCCTTGAATGATGGTCCTTGGAATTCTAAAGTTGTAATAACTGATACTGTTAAAAAGATAAAATACCAGTAATAAGACCCATAGGATGTTGGTTATCTAGCTATGGTATTGATAAATGCTATATATAGTAATATTTAGTTGTAAAGCAAGCCTTATTACCGGTCTTATTTCCAAATACCTGGTAATGAAGCAAATTATATCTTGGTTGATGCTGTTATGTCTATAAAAGGGCAGGAAATTTCATTTGTCCCATGGAAAAGAAGATTTGATGCTGATGGTGGTCTTTAGAGTCAAACAGTTTTCTGCAAAACTACTTTCATTGATTGATGTGGGTAGACTTTAGACACATGCATTTGCTACAGGGGTGTCATCAATTACAAGTCAGCGTTGTTGAAAACTACATATTTACAAAATATCAAGCAACAATTATAACTGAGTACTTTTAGTTCAGTAAACTCTCTAGGGGGTCAGACGTTTCAGACAGACTCAAAACATTTGTCAAGTAGCTTGATTTATTTTGTACGATGTATTATGTACTTGTCTACCTCAACGGTCAATGTCTAACGTTCATCAGCATTTGTTAAAAACTGTTCTCAACTTACACATGAGTGTCTGTCTGTCTGTTCCAGCCCACAGCAAGCCTGTGGTGCGTATGCAGACTTACGTCCACATGATGGAGTGGCTGAAGCACAACGCTGACCAGGAGCTGACCCAGGGAAACTTTCAACTGGTCAAGGTTTGTCTGTTATAGTAGTACAGTAGTAGCACCCATGTTGTGCTATACCTGTATACTAGTAATTCATCTTTATCTGCTATATGATAGTAACTACAGAGCACTAGAAGGCACAAGCTTTTCCCGTGGTGTATCAGTTCGTTGGAATTGTTTCCTAGGTTGAAATGCTTGTAATCTTAATAACATATAAGAAGCTGCTAGGTCGCCCAGCTTTGAATCACTTCTGCTACAGACCAAGGCTAAACTCCTGCTAACAAATGAATCAATGCAACATGGAAATAAAAGTCAAAGATTTTTCAAAGACTATCTTGTTTGCAATCAACAAACTAGCACTGATGATGAAACCTTAATTGTACCATTCTAAGACGAAAAAATTACCAGGAGTACTTTGTATGCAAAAGAAAGCCATGAGACTTGTGGTGTGGTGACATGTGATGATTGTGTCGTGTACAGAACCTGCTGGTCTCAGGTTTGACAGACATCTGGTCAGCCATCAGGAACGCCGTGGTGGCACGGCTGTCTCCTGTCATCGAGTGTTTCAGTCTGGGGCAGCTGGAGGACTTCTTCACAGAACTGGTCAAGGTCAGGAGTGGATATGCTTCTTTGGAATAAATCCTAAATGCTTGGTTTGCTTTTCAGTTTTGTTTGTAAAGTTTCACCTTTAGGCCACTGTTTCTATTCAATGAGAAAATTTTGAAATCTTGACCCTTGGAAATACTGTTTCTTGCATTTTGAGGGGCAAAGTTTGCTGGTAGTTAATGGCATCTCTTTTCATCTGTTTGCACAATGATGTTTGTCCAACAAAGATGACAGATTTGTCAGTCATGAGCGGCAAAATTTTGTTGGAAAGATGGGCGCTGGCTAGAACACTGAGTGATAAGTTGGTTTTTGTTTTTGCAGATCTGCCAAAATGAAGAGACCAGCTGGCAGAAGAAGGAAGGAGCTGTGATGGGTCAGACATTTTGTTTCAACATAGCAACAGTGCAATATAGTTTCATATTGGTAGTTTAAGAAGAAGTTTGTGTTTTGTCTATGAATGGTGTTTTGAAGTATTTATGTATAGTAGGTAGATGATTTTAAGACATCAAAAATTTTCCTGCATAATTCATGAAATTTAGAATGGCAACTAAAAAGGAAATGTCAATAGTGCATGTTTATCTGGTGTCCTCAAGGTTAGTTACCATATTGTGCTGCTGCAGTCTAAGTCTGCACAATAAAACTTTTACTTCATAACAATCCATACTTTTGACTTTGTTTGACACCCGACTCATTTTTGAGAACTGGGATAAACATCTTGATTTCTGTGTTGTGTCATAGGGGCTAAGTTGGAGTTCCTAGCTAGATTACTGTTTTTTGATGACTCAGTATACTGCCTGTTCTGTACAGGAATCAATGCTGTGGTGAGGAGGTTCCACTGGGTAGGCACTCAGTCTACACAGGACGCAGACAGCATGGCATACTTACTTAAGGTAAGCAGATTATGTAAGGTTTGAACCACTCACACACTTTTCAAGAAGTCTGGTGAGATCACGTGACAAGAGAACTCCAAGACAAGATCTTTACTGGGTTGATGAAGAGACAGTGCAGAGTAGCTAACGTATTGTGTGCATCGTTTAAGATATTCATCAAAAGGATGGTTAGATCTTTAACATGCTTGAGGTGTGGCTATCCTCAACCACAGGGCCCCAAGCTTTACCTCCCATCTGTAACCAAGCTAGGTACTCATTTACAAAAAAATAGTGTCTTTCCCATTATGGAACAACACTGGGAAGCTCAGAACCTGCTATATGTTGGTCAACAACCCTAACCACAAGGCCAACTTCTTTCCTTCCCCCATCAGTTTGGTCCAGAGGAGATGTCTCGCCTGCCTTCCTTCATCACACAGAACTTTAACGACGTGGTGAGGCCGCTGCTCGCACACGCTCAGCTCAGCATCCGGGAGCACGCCACCAAGGCCTACTCCTCATACCTGTCCAGGTGTGAGTTCAGGGTGAGGCTTTCCTTTTCATTGTATCTGAGTACTACTGCAAACAACTTTATGTTTGCGGTCTGAGAAAAATTAACATGTTCGCAGCACTATATGTTCGCAGTGGCAGCAGGTGCAACAAAAGTAAAGTTGGCAAAACATTCATGGTAATGATAAGTTTGCAGTACAGAAGTGACAGCGAAAACCATGAATATAAAAGTACTGAGAAAAAATTGTGATTTACAGTATAAACTGGTGTGATGGCATTTTCTGTAAGATACCAAGAAAGGTACTTTCAATAACTCTGTACTCATGATTATAGACAAACTATTTGATTGCATATTTGCCTAAAAGTGTAAAAGTTTACTGGAGAAAAAATGTTGCTGTTCTTGATTACCAGTGGTCACACTTTTTTTGTAACAGTGCCAAAGCGGTGCTAAGGTATAGGCAGTTATGAAACAGCACTAAAGTAACCTCTTGTATCACCTGTAGGAAGCTCTGAGCTCCTTCCGTGAGGTGATGTCACACCTGTGTAGAGACAGTCGACCTGAAGCAGAGGCAGCGGAACAGGTGAGAGAAAATCATAACATATCAAAAGTAATTTTCATTTGCACGGAATTTGTCGTTTTTATAATAAATGATGTAAAGATTGAAGTATCATTGATTTTGTAAAAGAAGAGTAAATTCTAAAGAACATCTGATCCTGATGTTCTTTTAATCCCGAATATCTCTAATTCTTATGAGCAAAGACATGGCTGTTGTGTGTAGTGTTTTACCGTACTGCTAACTTTTGTGACCCATCATCAGGTCCCCCTCCCACACCTGGCAGTATTAAGAAGAGAATACAGCTTCATGGATGCCTATGAAGCTGAGGGGCTTCTTGGGGTCTGTGTCTTCTTGGTCAAGGTGGGTCTAATAAATCTCTAAAAATATAGATTTCTCAAGTAGATTGACAGGGATCTGTGATAGGTGTATATAGAAAAACTATGATATGCAAGTAATTCTATAAAACTATCATGATGTATCTTTTTCTATCCCTCACACTCACTCACTATCCAGTTTATGTGTGTGGCTATACCTACAGTGCTGTATATGACTGAACAGTTTTTGTTCATATGTTTTGCATGTTTTGTTTCTAGCACATCCCACCAGGCTTCATGCTGCCCAGCTGGCCATACTACTTTTCCACCTTCAACCTTTACCTGATGCATCCGGCCTCGACTGTGAGACAGGCCACCAGCCAGGTGTTTAAGTACCTCGGTGAGTCAACACCTCTTGGCGCTCGGGGCAGGTGCAGAATAAAGGAAGTCAGCAAATTTTGTGAAGTGACCGCAAAAATTGCAAAGTTAAAGAATAGGGAATTACAGTAATAGTCATTCAAGTCTTTTAACCTTGAGTGTAGCCAATCTCTATCAACCCTGGAGGTTCACACTGTGCATGCACAGCCAGCTGAAATCAGAAGCTACACTGATTCAATGCATAGAATAGAAGCAGATCTGGAGAAAAGAACTACTTGCAACAGACCTGAGTCAGCTTACAAATGTGCCCTATGTGGCAGAGACTGTCTATCTCGAATAGGACAGTTTAGCCATACCCGAAGCTGTAGGGCTGATAGGATTTTACAGTGGTCAATATTGACTGAAGGAGGCCATATAGTAATCAGTCTCTGTATATCCTTACCCAATATAGTAATGCCCGGTGTAATTCAGGTTTATTGGTTGAATTCTGTCTCCATAGTTGCAAAAGACTGTAACAACCCCACGCTGCTGAAGCTGGTACTGCAGGGCCTGTGTGCAGACTGGAGCGTCGACCTACAGTCTCTGGAAGGGCACAGTCCACGCCCAAGGTACATGTACTGTCACACCTGTCTGTGAAACTACATGTAACTAGTGCTGTGCTTTGCAACAATATGCAGAAGAAAATGGTAATATTATTTGAATTTTAGAATGCTTGCTGCTTTTCCACACCAATTCAAAATTTCTTTTTTTCTTAAAATGGCTGCTTATTCCAAGAAATAGTTACTCAAGCAACTGGATATGATTTTGTAGCATCCACTACCTTTTATCAGTGACGCTGACTAGTGGATGCTACCTGAAACATCTGACCATTTTCAAAAGCATTGCAGTTGCTTGAATAAGTGTTGTTGCCATATCTTATTACCTGAATGTCTAACCTTCACCAACGTGGCTGCTTATTTTTTCGTCGTTGTTCTCACACCTTTCTTGTTCCCAGATTGTCAAGTTTTGGTAAGTCCCCGCGGCAGGCGTGGGGGGATGGAGGGAGGAAGGACATGGACAGACTGTCCCCAGGGTCCAGCGGTTCCCCCCTGGGGGCCTCCCCACGCAGGAGGAGGGCCACCATACAGGACATCTGCAGCTATGAAGGAGGTAAAACAAAGCTTTGAGAATTGCCTTACAAGGCCTATCCCTGGGCTCTAGCCAGCTCGAAATTTTTAACCCTTAACAATACCCGGTAGTCTATGACTAGTTGGGCAAACCCTGTCCCTGGCTGTTTAAAGCTGTATAAATAACAAACCAATAAATAAAAAAGAAAAATAAATGTGTGTCATCCACAGATGAACCAGCCACTGCCATCTCGGAGACCTGGGAGTGGAGGGAGGGGAGGTTATTTGCATACGAGCTGATCTTGAGGTTTCTGGTGACCAATCACATCCACTACCTGTTCCCGTCTCTCGTGAGTCCCGTCGGACACACCAGGTTCGACGGCATGGCTTCTACTGATGACGTCATTGTCGGGTACATGTCACCTTCCTCCTTATTACATAATGATTACATTATCCTGTTGTAAGGATCCTGACTGTCCATCACATTTAGCAGTTTGACCAATGAGAGAATGGCAATAAGCAGTATACCATATATATTACTAGTAGACTAGTACAGTATGCTAGTAACTGCCCTAAAGAGGGTGGCTTCCCATCCATCATTTTTATGCTCTTGTTTCGCACTTTGATGTTTTGACAGGTTGGCAGGCTTATTGTATGCATCATCAAGTACTGCACTGCAGTGTAAATAGTCGTCATTTCCTCTCTTTGGACTCTGCTTGTCAAAGTCTAAACAAGTGTCTTACATTTTCTCCGTAATTATTTGTTCCAATACATGTTATTTATTGTCTTATACAGACAGAGGAAGCTGGAGATAGGCAGGGACCACGCTCATCATGAGCCTATCCAGAAGAGTTACAGTCATGCAGGCATGAGTCTACGCCATGCTCTACACAGTTATAACCATGGGCCAACAGCACAGGTAAGGACAGATAAGGAAACCTCACCAGAGGACCTATAGAATCTGGTCTGTGTGGACAGGTGGTTACTAAAAACAGGATTTGTAATGCTTGTGTCTATGGCAAAAAATTGTCCTCCAAAAAGTGGTCACAATGGCCAGGTCGACCTTATGTAGAGCTGGTCACTTGTACAGGTTTGACTGTAGATGAGACAATAGCAAGTACTAAGCACTAAGTTTTTTTTAATCTCTGTCTTCTGTAGCCAGACACGGTACCCACCAGCCAGCGACCACACCTTCTCCTGCACAGACCCTTCTCTGTGGATGGATCAGAGGATGCACAAAACTTAAAACAACAACAACAACAACATGGCAGCTCACAGACAAAGTCACTAGTATTCAAGACGCAGAAACGAAGGTAGGGTGACCAAAAAATATTCATGACAGGCTGCACAGAAGCCTTTTAAGGTATAAATCAGGATAAAAGTAAGGTTTTATTGCATAGTAACTTGCAAGTTTGATGTAAGAAGTTCAGCTCTATCTACAAATGTAATATTGTTATAAACAAATAAGTCAAGAAACAAGAAACAATGAGGTTATCTTATGTATCTTACTGACAAATGACTCAGGTAAACACAGTGTTTGTTACATGGTGTTCTGCACCACCACAATTTTTTATGATTATCCAGTTTTATCAGATTAGTATTTGGTGTTTCCTCTATTTTCTTCCTCTTGCACACCTAGACTGAGAGTGCGGACATACAGGTAGCTCCAGGCATGATAACACCTGTTACCTGGTGCTCAGATCTCTCCTAGATAACCCATGTAGCTGACATCATTTTAACATCACACAAAACTAAAATGTTCATGTAAAAGTTAACATGCCAAAAAAAAATTGGCAACTCTTCAAGAGCTGTTAACTATGAAACTGAAAATGTCCAGTACAATTCAAAAGAAACCCCTTTGTCAATTTACAAGTACAAAAAAATTAACTTACACTTAAAAGGTCTTTTGGTTGTTATAATTCAATCACCTTATAATTCTCCACTTGCCTAACTCTCCTATCAGGGATTTATCTGAGAACCAGTTAATCCACATATCAATGCTCATCTCCTCTTGATGATAATTTTTCCTTATTATTAATAACTAATTTCTTCCTCTGCCTTGGTAGACGGTCCGTTAGCATGAGGTTTGTTTTCTCCATAATTTCCATAGAGCACTGTGAGATGTACATGTATAGTATGTCACTGTTTTTACACCGTATTTTACTGTTTTGTGTAATTTCACACACTGAAACTTGCTCTTTTTATGCCTACTGTTTTGCACTCTTACTTGTTGTCCAAAAGTTAATTTAATTTATTTACTTTACTTGCACTGCATGATTGTACCGGGTATACTTCTTTTAAGCATATTAGTTGTTTCATACACTTTCAAGACAATATTCTATTTTGAAATGGTAATGGATTGTATAATGCTCTGCATTTGCAGGGTACCGGTATTATAGTAATACAAAAGTCTGGTCCTATAAACTATCAAAATTTGTATGAACACAAATTGGATGATTTAATTAATCAGTAATCTCAAAACCTTTCAACACGTTGTATTCAGCTGTTGCTTAAATACAGAAGAAATGTGTTTCTACCTCTATAACAGTTTCAGTCAATTAAAATAGTATCATTCAGTGTCAAGACATAGAATTGTTTGATAAGATTTTTGTTATTCACAATGTGCCACACCTGTCCATAGTGAAATAACGCCCCCTATCATGGAGAGTGGGAACTCCCTCCAGTCCATGGTGCGGGAGTACAACTACCACGTCCACCTCAACACGCCATTCCGCCCACCCAAGAAGGGCTCCATACCCTCCACATACTCCCTCCTGGACCAGACCAGGAGATTTGATGGGGAAGAAGAACAAGTAAGCTATAATACTTTTCCTGTCCTATTCATATGCCATGCTGATGGTACAGATACAAAAGACAAAGATATGCTACATACATGTACAGTTTTCTTAACTGTAGGAACTGCATGCTATTAGGCTGGTCTAGTACATGAATAAGCAGCATGATTTTAATCACTCACAGGATATGTATCAGTTCCAGTTATTGTATGAACTGGGTTCTTGAAAAAAACTTTTGGTGTCGTTTCTTGTTACAAACATTTCTTTGGAGCAGCCAAAAATAAATGTAAGTTGTGTTACTACTGATAAACTGTGTGTTGCCCATCCAGACTGGTGGTTCCAGTAGAAGTCGACTCTGCCTGTCATCACCCGTCAAGGACCAGCTGTCAGCCGGTAACCCTGACGATGAGTCCTGGGTGGGAGATGTACAGTTTGAACAGTTCTCTACAGTTTTACGACAGGTTGGGAAACGTTTATTTCTTTTCTGTTATTTAGACACATTCTCAAGCAAATATTATCGCTTCCCCTACTTTCGTTTCTTAATACTGTAACAGTTGTTGTTACTTTGAGATGCAGTAAGCAACTAACTCTTTAAGCACTTCATGCTTATGGTACAGGGCTCTATCCAGCAACCATCTTTTCCATCAATTGCAGCCATGTTATACAATGTAGTACAAAAGAGAGAAAATGTCTAACACTGATGAGTAGATGCAGACATCACTGCAGAGTGTTGCACCTTCTTCCCTCCCAGATGCTGTACCAGACAGTGGAGTGCCTGGCAGACTCCAGGTGGGAACTCAGGAGGATGAGCCAACAGGTAAAGTCATCTGCAGGTCATTATTAGCCAATCAGTGAACAGCAACTGTTGCTTCCTGGTCAGTCAGATCAACCAATCACAGAGCTGTATTTCAAAGTCATCTAAAAGTTGTCTACAATTCAAACAAAAAATATTGATCCCTCCTTACTTTAGTAATATTTTCATTGTTCCAATGCACATGTTCAGTAATATACAGTGCCATGGATTGTTTTAGCTGATGCTAATAGAAGAAAAAATGGACTTTTCCAACCTTGTAGGTCCTCCCCTTGCTGAGTGAGACGATCCGATGGTACAACCTGTCCATCCTGGAGGACCTGTGGGACAGCTACCTGACCTCTGACCCCTCGGTGCTGTGTTTTGGGGCCTGTCTGATGATCAAACACAGCATCCAGCACTGTGCACAACTCACCCATCTCATGGAGGAACCCATGCCTTCATGGAAGGTAAATATGACTGCAGCGTGTTCAAGTGGTCAATAGGTAGGAAGATGGTCTTGTGGTTAGGGTTGTTGACTCATAATCTGAAGGTTCTGGGTTCAAATCCCAAAGTTTTGATACAGTTCTTTCCAAAGACCTGTGAACCATTACCATATAGAGGCTCACACTGTGAAGCTGGGACTCAAACCACAAACTCCTGTTACACAAAGCAGATTGTATCATCCATTTACAGAATGTCTGTTCTCGTTCTTTATTGATATGACCTTTGTGATGACCTACAGGATCCTGACCTGTGCAGACAAGCCTTCCATCCAATCATCAGCTTCATGGAGAAAGGTCTGTTGTCATGGATACGACCTGTGTGTGGGCTGCTTAGCAGAGCATGCTGGGACAAGCTATCTGTGGTTGCCATGGAGATCATTATGCTTGCCAATTGCACTTTTCCCAAAGCAGTAAGTATTTTCATCCATACATTAGATATTAGTGAATAAAAGCTCTCTTGAATCTCAAGCAACTGGATAGATTTTCAAAGCTGTCAGATGTCAGAAGTAGCACCACTTTTTCATCAGTGACTAGAGGTCAGTAACTACTTTTGACCTACCCAGTAGTCACTGACCTAGTAGTGGATTGATGCTAATTGAAAAGTTTTGAAAATCTATATATAGTAAGCAGTTGCTTGAGTAACTGTTTCCTTGAGGGTATCTCATTACCTGTATGTCTAACCTCCACTGACATCTCCTCCTCTTAAATAATTTCAGCTGTTTCCTCCAAGAACCTTTTTTACTCAAAATGTAATTTTTATTGTGTGTTGTTCTGTTCTTACAGAATTTTGGACATGAAGATGTTGTGGTCAGCAGCATCAGACACCTGTTCACATATGCCCACACCAGCCACCCTATTGGTAAGTGTGAAGAACTTTAGTGCATCAAATTTCATTTCTGGTAGACTGAGCTTAGTTTAATGACATCTCTTTTCATATCTTGTCATGCTGATTTTTGTCCATCAAAGATGATGGATAATGGGCAAAATTTTTGTCCATCATGAGAAGCAAAATTCCACCAAATGTTAGACACACACTGCCAAGAACACCTTATCTGTGCAACATGTTTTTAATGTCAATAACAATCCTTTATCATTTATTTCAAGCACAAGATAATGCAAGAACAGGGAACATCAGACCTTTCAAGACAGCAAAAGAAGGATTCCTCTGGTGAGTAAGCACATGTAGCTACAGATATCCTACGACCATGATGATGATGATGATGATGATAATGAACTTCTGAGCTGGTTATTATTAGATCAAGGAGTAATCTTCAGGGAACACTTGTGGGTGGGTACATGGGTGTAACAATGTTGGAGATTAAAGATCTTTTTAAGGCATCCTTGTATATGATACTAAATCATAACAAATCAGCTTGAAGTGTATTTATCTGCCTCATACACTCTTACATAACGCTTGCAGTTGTGGAGGTCGTCTGGACTCAAGTTGCGGCCAGTCCAACCCCAGACAGGTAAGAACCGTTTCCCTGTGTATGATAATATTTTTTTATTAAACCCAGACTGTAAAATATGTGTGGAGCTTAAATAAGAATAGCAATTAGCTAACAAATTTTTCGGCTAGAAATTGTTTTGCTTTAACAGCACCTTGAAGCAGTCAAAGTAGTTTTATGTAGGAGTATTTCGCTTTGTTTGATCATAGTTGTAAGGCCACACCAAGTAAATTTTATGGATGACGTCCGCGCGCGCATTGATTTTGGCCTGTTCCTAGAAAAAAAACCCAAGAAATTCCGCTTCCTGTAACTATGACCAAAGAGTCACGACAGTGCTGCAAATCGTCAGATTGACATGGAACCCGTAACGCGAAAACAGGACAGGACGACAACTGCTGTTCCACCTGATTTATTGCTGTTTTGATGATGAATAAAAGACTTCTCGCTTGTTACACTGTGTCAATTCATTCAATTTGTGTCCTAACATTTGTCGTCTCTTAGTATATTTCTAATCTAGGCATCTTGTTTTTTAGGGCCCTTCTTGTTTTTTTTTCGCCCTCTCGCATTAGATTTAGGGTCTCCAAAGGACGTCATCCATAAAATTTACTTGGTGTGGCCTAATAGACAATACAAAAGTCCCTGGATTTTTTTGAATCAATAAAGAACTTACATTGTATGTATTTGTATTGTTGAATTTTGTGCTGTTATGGCTGTTATGTTTCTTCCCAGGTTGAGAAGTATGTCCTGAGTGAAACCCACGGTCTGTTGTCCCCATTCCTACGGAGAAGTGATCTGTGCCACACAGCTGCATTACTTCCCATCCTGGCCAGCTACGCCAACTTCTACAGCGATGATAATGATGTCTGCACATCTATGTTAGAGGGGTAGGACTGCAGTCTGCATTTCAATAACAGCATACTGTATTACATATTTTTATTTGTTCCTTTTCGTAGAAAAGCTGCACTTCATTACTAATGTTTACTGAAAAAGCATCTTGCCTCACTCCATTTGAAGAAGACTGCTTTACTTGGTACTTCTTTTTATTTTCCATTTCCAAACCTGAAATAATTTTCTTACCTTATTCCAGGATGACTAGTATCCTATGCCTGATGGGAGACCATGTCCATCAGTGCCCAGGGGAAATGTTGGGGGTTGAGTACAGCGAGTACTGTGCTCAGGCAGCTACAGAACTGGCAGACATCATCGCTCATAAGGTAGGATAAATTTTTTAACTCTCCTGGTATTATCCCAAGCCCATAGTTACATTAGTTACATGGACCTGCTGAAGAGTAAAGAAGATTTTCAAAGAATTGCCTGGGGGACAATCCCAACATAAAATAACATAACAGTCATGTTTGTTTTGCAAGAATAATCAAAGTTTATTTTTTTATCATAATTATCCAAATTGAAATTCAGCCACTTGCTCAGGTGACAATGACGATTAATATCCAGTTGAAGTTGATGATATACAATGTACAAATTGTCCATACAGGAGATGGTGGAGCTGTCGCTGCTGAGACCGATCTTGGAGACCTTCTACCTGGTCAGCACACTGATGTTAGATGGTCGTCACCTGCACACACTCTTCAACGCCATCAGCACCAGACTCAGCCAGGTATGTGTATCTACTGGTATTATTTCAAGGGCTGTAATTATTGTAAAATACAGTCAAATCTTCATAGAATGGCCAACCAGCTGTAGCCAACCATCTCCAAACTGATATAGGGATTCAGCTATTCCCAACTTACATTTCATTCATACATTGACTACAAATGCTGAGTTCATTCATTGATGCTGAGTTCCCATGGCCACCAAACTTGGCTTCCTCAGTGTTCACACAGTGTTTCAAACCCCCCCTCCCATGTGACCTGCAGCGTGGCTTTATCTTGTCTCCAGGTTCTCCAGCTGACAGTGGACTCACCCCAGATCACAGACCCCAGTCTTGCCATTCTGTCTAACGACATCCCCCCCAGCCCTGTGGACCCGGGCCCTCCACTGTCTGATGATGATGATGACTCTGATTCAACCCAAAGTAAGATCTACAAAGGCACCTGTTGGACTAACAGATGTGTCGGATCCTGGCATTAATGATTATTGTCAAGCTTGTCCAAAAAATTTCATTAATCGAAGGCAGGGTCAGATTATTTATTTCATGTAACCAAAGATTGATGTGATACATGTATTAGAAGACCAAAGGACAAGCATATAAAAAAACTAAGGCTACTACATGTTTAAAGTCCATGTTTTCTCCCAAGAATCCGTGTTTTGTTACTGTGCGGCATATTTTTTCATGACAGTGATAGATAATTGTTGAAGGAAAATGCTGAGACCATGTGTGTACCTCAGGAGGTGGTTTCCTGAACGCGAGTGGCAGCAGCAGGGACGGGCTGGCAGGGATGATGGGCGGGCCGTCCCCCTCTCCTGTCAGCTACGACTCCAACCCCTCATCAGACTGGGACAGCTGGGACGAGGACGAGGAGGTCAGGCTTTTGTTTGTTTGTTTCGCACAACTGGTAAATTGCCTTTAGGCGTAACACACCAGTTTTGTACATGTAAGTACAAGCTGTGTAAGACTGTGAGTCACCAAGATTAAATTATCTGTGTTTGCTCTCCTATCTTCAGGACCAGTCAGCACTGAGTGTCCTGTTCTCAGAGTTCCTCCAAAGACTGCAGAGATTCTACACTGTAGCACAGGAAGGTTTGTACTTCTAGATGTCATCCTACTGTAATTATTGTAAAATATCTGTGTGATCATACCTTACAAATGTATTTAAGAATACGTTTGCGAGTACATGTTGCATTCCATGTATCCGGTTTTATAGAATCCAATGTGATTGTAAAAAAAGTATGCTTAACAGTGTTCAATTTTGTCTGTTTTAGAATTGAAGTAAAAGAATAATTTTCTTTTTTTTAGTAGGGATTATTGGTCCTTGAGTAGCATAGCTCATCTGTTTCCCTTTGTAAAATGTAGTTTTTTCATTTCTCTACTACAAGATTTCCGAAACGCTTGGTCTATGGCAAGGGTACCATTTTAGTCTCACAAACATGCAAATGAGGTACTTTCCATCACACTTCAGGCCGCATGAACAGTTTCCAGACCCAGCTCGGCCACATGAGCAGCAGTAAGCAGCGTGTCATGCGAGACCTGCTCAACAACAGGCAGCCCGACACAGGACCACCGCCGGCCAAGAAGGCCCTCAGCTTTGACTCACATCACCTGCCCTCCGACCTGTGACATCACCTGCCCTCCGACCTGTGACATCACCTGCCCTCCGACCTGTGACATCACCTGCCCTCCAACCTGTGACATACGCCATGAAAACTTGCCCTTCAACATCCACTCCAAAGGATGTTGCCGTGTTACTACTGGCGCCACAGTGGGAGGAACTGGTAGACATTGACAGTTGCCCCCTCTACTTTCCATGGACTTCTGTCATATGTCTGCTCTCTGACCCTAGCAAAGACAAGACTTAGTTGCTCTCTGACACAACTTTGGCAAAAGGCACCAGTCTAACACCTGCCTTTGGACCCCTGGCTGGGACATGGATTAAATGATTCATCAGTGAAACAAGACTGTTCTTTGCCCTCTGATTTGAGCAGTAGACAGTAGTCGGCAAGAGAACAATGGATAAATGTAGGCAGAATACAGCAAGGCTCTTGATAGGTTGCCAGTATAAAGACAATCATGTCCATTGAAAGTTGTGAACTTGTCACCTTTAACTGTTCAGGCTGCTTCTGGGTTCATGGTTACTGTAGTCAAAACAGTTTAGCAAGGGCTGTTCAAGTTGTTTTAACAACTTGAAGCACTTTTTGAACTCCAATTATGGAGGGATGTGTGCAGAGATAGATAGGGGTTAAGTGAACAACTTTTTACAGTTTCCAGACCACCCCTACCATGGCTGTTTCGATGGACTAGTCTAAAAGATGTGTTGCTGGTATGCATGACTTTAGGCCATTTACATTGTATGCAACATGTTCTGTTGTACCTGTGACAAGATCTGTTGAAAGGTGCATTCTGCTCAACATTCCAGCAATCCTGACTTGCCAAGAACAGACAATAGCTCTTTTTTCTCGTTCATACAATGTTTGGGGTTGGGGATTCCTTCTGCTGCAGTCTTCTATATTTTTGGCAATTTTTCAGGGGCGGAGCCTGCTGTACAGTATTGTTATTGATTTGGTTTGTTTACATTCACCTCCATGTACAACCTTTCCTGATCCGTCCACTAGTATACTAGTATATGATAACAGTGTTATGCTTTTAGCTGTCATGTCAAATCCTTATGGTTAAGAATGTTGACAGCTTGCCAAGGAGAAGTGGGTGGAGTTAAGTTGAATATGAAGTGCCATTTGTGTGATGAACCCGGTTTGGCTACACTACCTTATAGTCATTTGCCACTTTTTTGGTGCTTTTAGTTTGACCAGAACATGTATATTATTGTACATACCCATACCTATAAGATAGTATAAACCTGTGTTGTTGAAACCTGTATTTCTCCAAGAAGGATTTTTAATTTCTTTTTTATACAAACTGGCAGATTGAGAGCATGTAATGTACATGCTGAAATATGGTGGGAAACAATTGCAGAATTTTAGAATGGAAATGAAACTCTAAGGGTTTTTTTTTTCCTTGACAGTTACAATGATCTCATTTTTATATAAAAAATGTAACTTTATTGACAAAATTGCACATTCTGTTTGAACTTGTTTTTGGAACTTGTATCACAAATGTTGAAATTGAACAACCAAACAGCATTCCAAGTTTAAGGATATCAGATACACAGTCATATATAATTTATTATGTTTTTTTCTTAAGTATGATACAAAATAATCAGGAAGTGTTGTGCTAGTATGTTGGACCCAGATGTTATTTTTGTATGTGCAAAATCATCATATCCAGAGTTGGACTTCATCAATTTTTTTATTAGATATGTTGCTATATATATACATTCATGTTGTATATCTCAGAAGTAATGCACCCACACAAGAGATGTAAGTCTACAATCATGTTTGTATTGGTTTTGAAAACACTAATCAATAATGTTTAAAACAAGAATCCTTCTAGATGATTTGCTACGACATAACATATAGCTTGTTTTGGTCACTTCTGGAATCGACAATGTAATGAAAGTAGGTGTAAAATCAATAATTGATTATATATCCACACCTTTATCACTGTGACACAAGTTCAAAGAAACTAAAAAGATCTGCAGATATTTGAGACTGATGTACATGTATGAGATATTATTTGTAGAAGATAGATATATATTTGTTCAACTCTGAAAGATAATCCAGTTTGAATACCATGTTTGAATGTACAGTTGTAAAACTGAGGAACTTGTTGTTCATCCTTTCGTTGCATGTCAGATGCAATAAACCTGTTACTAACTGCATGGTGCTTTGACAAGTTGGTAAGACTTCAGATGTCATGATGAGAAAATCAATAGGTTCATCAACTGCTGACCCACAAAGCAGTACAGAAGTATCAGACATGATAAGATTTCAGTACTTGTAGCTTTAACTCATTAAACCAAAGCCCCATTACATATCAAAATGCCCTCTTCAAATAAGATTTTTAGAATTGCACTTTATACAAAGGTATTGGTATCAGCTTTCAGATCTTGGTCAAATAGAATCAGCCTCACTTTCTGTTACTTTTGAAAAACTGGCTAACTCCTCTGGCATATTCTTTAGTCCATTTGGCCATTGAATTTTTAATACTCTGGCAACCCATTGGTGCTTGCCAGAGACTATATATATAGAGAGAAAAGTGTTCAAGTAACCATTTTTCCTATCAGATTTAAAAGACCAGGTATCATATGTTTTTCTTCTCAGCGTTGTTTGTCAACAGCAAGGTCAACTGGATCCATCACCTGCTGGAACTTGTAATCCTTTCCCATGATGCTTTGCAGCATATCGTTGCTGACTCGCTTGGAAGGTCGTGATGAAATGGCAGTCATTGTCATTGTCATTGGGGGAAGCTCGTAACCTAACCTATAAATGACAATTTCTATAATAGGTTAGTTACAAATCTTAAAACAAAACTCTAGAAAGGATACCTACAGTACTTTTCACACACATCGTTGGTTTGTGACTATGGTGGGTTTATGGAAAAGGCTGGCCTAGGTAGACAGGCAAGACTTTTCCATAAAGCTGACTACGGTCCTGTTTCCATACAAGATGACTCAAAAATTCTACAACGGGAAGGCTGGCCTTAGCACAAGAAAGACCAGATTATTAATTATGAAGATCTATCCCATCTGGAGTTTCAGGGGTTTCTAAAGTCTTGCAATACAATGCTTGATGAGTAGTAGTCCAAACCTCAGGCTCATGTAAAAATGTAAATATTGACTGCCCAAAACTAATGTCAGTGTTATACTTTTCTTATGTATAACTCAATAATTCTAACCTAAGAAACGGAGACAGAACACTCACCCCAGTATGATATCCCTCCACAGCATGGGGTTTCCGTCACAGACGTTGATAGCTTGACCTTTCAACTCGGGACGTTCCATAACCACTTCTGTTGCCTTGACAATATCATCAACATGGGATAGGTTCAGGAACTTATCAACAGCTTGGATGTACCCCTTTTTAATCCACGCCTTAAGCCCCCTTGTCTCTCCATTCTTACTCTCACCCCAGATAGCTGCAAAAAAGGTTCATGTATTAAATGCTGCGTTCAGGGCACACTGATTTGAATTTATGGAGGACATCCACGCGAGTATTGATTTTCGCCTGTTGTAAAAAAAATCACCTCTGACGAGGCTCTGGCCTGGGTGCTTGTCCTCCATAGTCCATGGTAGCTAGCGACAATAGGGAGCCGGCGGTAACCATGGAGGATGGCACCCAGGCTGCAAAAGCTCCATACAACTCAAGAATGCATTTTTTTATTCGCCTGCACATACTAGTTTTGAGGTCTTCAGAGGATTTCATCCATATTCTATTAAATCAGTGTGGCCTTAGGAATATAAATTTTAAAGTTTCTAGATGATGCAAATAGGCTTAAGTCTAATAATTGACCCTGATGCACTTACCAGCCAGCACCAGAACAGTGGCCCCCTTCTCCTGTAAGAAATTCTCCCCCTCCTCTCTGCCACTTTCTGTCTGCTTGTACCTGGTCTTCTCATCCACCCACTGGTGTTCTTCCTCCACATGGTAACGACCGATGGTGCCATACACAATAACTGGTTTCCCCAAGTCCAGAATGGACTGGAGGTAGACGTCATAGAATCGTTGCACCTGAGACAAGGGTCTAAGAGAAGGAGAATTGGCTTGAATTTTTCATCTACATCTCAGAAGCACAGAAAAATCTATTGGTCGGTCGGTCAAGCTGCATGTGTTGGCATAATTGTCAAGGTTTGACATTGTTCTGACTTAACAAAGATTGAATTCATTCAACTTTTCACAATAAAATACTCCAAAAGCAATATTAATCCATTGTTAATTTGCAACCAAAACATGTCCAGGCCAAACAATTTTGCATTATTAAGTTTCTCCTTGTGTTGAAGATTAACTCACATGTCCTTTATCATACTTACTCCAGATTTCAAATACGAAGCGCTAGCATGCATCATCATAGTGCTAGCATGTATCATCATAGCATGTCTGAAGCTTAAGAGTCCACATTTGCCTAGCCAGAGGAGAGGGTTTTGTCACTGCCCGAAAAACTCTCCCTTGCAAACTTCCCCTCTCGGCGGCAAAACTGTCCCTCCACGGCATAACTTGTGTGGCTCCCCCATGGCCCAAAGAAAATTAACGCCGACGTCCCACAATACAGCGAAGGAGGCTAACATTTGCTCCCTTAAGCTGCATGTGAAGATAAAACAAGATTCTAACCTTGCTGGTAAAGTCCAGACAACTCCATCCACCTCCTCTGGCAGATTCCTCCAGGTTTCTTCCTCCTCCAACACAAACTGGCTGGTACCGGTCCCCTCCTCTCCCCTCTGCCGCCGGGTACAGTACACCTGGACTCCTGCACTCTTCAGGGAAGCCGCCAGGGAAGAACCAACAAAACCTGATCCTATGATCAGCACTTTCTTCATGATGACTGAAATCAGCGTTTTTCAGGAAAAAGAAGGGAGGTTTGAATCAGACGTTCTTCCTAGGCCTATTGAACCACTCAAGGCTGTGACATGTCACTACTGTCGTTTCTAAATGTTGCTGACCTTTTAAACACGGCAATTTAAGTAAGAAATGTTACACAACCTGGGGCATACAGAAATGCAGGTCAGGAATGCACCCGTCGGAGGCACCGATGTAGATTTTAACCCATCAACACAAAGACAGACACATACAAGTACAAATGTACTCTTTTCCCCCATATCACATCCGAGTGGAACTCGCTGCCTGGCCCGGTCGTGGCCAGACGGTAGGACTGCCTGCCTTAAGCGGGTTTCCTCTCCCTTCCTACTTTGCCCAGCTGGGGCTATTTGGAGATAACTTCCTGAGACTGAGGAGTATGCTTGACAACATGGCAGAAAATGAAAAGCTTGAAAAATTTCAGGGACTCAGGATGAAAGCATGACTCACATATGTACACAACTCCTCAGCACACAATGGAGGCTTTTCCAAAATGCCAGTCCTTCTGGTCTGTCCTTTGCCCAGTCCAAAACTGTAACAGTGATAAGCCCCAGGGCCGGGTCTGACCGGAGGACTTAATATGCACAGTCAGGTAAAAGTTACACATTAACAGAGGTTATACAAGGGTAAAGTTCACTACCAACGAACTCAGTACCATCCAATTTACAGAGCAGGAGGTTCTGGACGTGTTGCAAGGACTGCACTTTGTTGACAACAGTGCACATTCTGTTTGAACATGTTTTTGGAAGTTGCATTACAAACGTTGAAATTGAACAACCAAACAGCATTCCAAGTTTAAGGATATCAAATACACAGTCATAATGTGTAATTTATCATGTCTTTGTGTTAAGTATGATACAAAATAATTCGGAAAGTGTTGTACTAGTATGTTGGACCCAGATGTTATTTTTGTATGAACAAAATCATCATATCCAGAGTTGGACTTCATCACTTTTTTATTAGATATGTTGATATCTATATATATATATATCTATATATCTATATATCTATCTATCTATATATCTATATATATATATATATATATATATATACTATAC